TCTCTTCCCCTCTCTCCCTCATTGTGTTCTCTAATACTTGCCACTCATTTATGGTTTTCAGACAAGGCATAATTTAAGTTTGTATCCCTACCTGTGAACTTTAGTTTGTGTTTGCCCTCAAAACCAGATATCAAGTGCAAATCCTGCTTTGCTTATTTGGCAGTTGCAGCTGTCTCATAGCGGATTGGTCTATCTGGTGCAGTATTGTCTACATTGACTGTCCAGGGTTTCAGGTGAGAGTCTTTCCAGCTGTACTTGGAGCAACCAGGGATGGAAGCGGGAACCTTTTCTTTTCTTTTCTTTTAAATTAGGCATGTGCTCTAGTACTAAGCCTTTCTTTGTTCCCTAAACTATGCTTTACTCAAAACCAGAAGTCAGGGACAGAAGAGAGGAGAGACCATACAAGTCCGAAACCCAGCCAGTTTTAAATTCACAGTTTCCCATGATGTTGCTTCCTGTTAGCCAAACCTAGGAGATGGCACCACCTGCTTTAAAATATTTCTACTTAAGCAACTGAGGTCTGGATATTTTAGAGAATGGTTTCTAAATCTTACGGGGAAAGGGTCACAGTACAGTGCTAAGCATCTGCTTTGCATACAGAAAAATCTGTGGTTCAGTCTCTGACATCTCCAGGTAGGCTGGGAGAGACTCCTGCCTGAGCTAGATGGACCAATGGACTAAGTAGAAAACAGCTTCCTATGTACCTAAAGATTTGCCAAAGTAGATCAGCTTGATTACCTATGTAAAATAATATTTTGTTATGTCACTCTTAAGCATTTGGATCATATTTGTTGCCTAATTGCTTTGGGTAAATCACTGGATAGTATAAAATACATAGAGCTGACCTGAAACTACTCAGATTTTTAAATCAACTTCTCAGTAGTGCAAAACATGTCTCACCTTTGCTTCTTTATTCACATAGTCCATGGGTAGGCAAACTGAGGCCCGGGGGCCGGATCCGGTCCAATCGCCTTCTAAATCCAGCCCGCGGATGGTCCGGGAATCAGTGTGTTTTTACATGAGCAGAATGTGTCCTTCTATTTAAAATGCATCTCTGGGTTATTTGCGGGGCATAGGAATTTGTTTATTATTTTTTCCAAAATATAGTCTGGCCCCCCACAAGGTCTGAGGGACAGTGGACCGGCCCCCTGCTGAAAAAGTTTGCTGACCCCTGACATAGTCCTTGGTTACCCTCACTTACTGGGAATGATTTAATCTTATTATTCTTTCTGAAAGCAACCTGTATCAGGAAGTTTTTAATGTTTTACTATGTTTTATATATGCTGTAAGCTGCCCTGAGTGGCTGGGGAAACCCAGCCAGGTGGGCAGGGTATAAATAATAAAATTATTTTAAAATTATTATTTTAAAAAAATAATTAAAAAAATTGTGTTGCAGCATCATTTTGAATAAGATCACTCAGATGTAATTTTAGAACAATGTAAATATTTGCAAAATATAAAATAATTTCTGGAGAAGGGGTGTGTTTTGTTTCCCCCATTGAAAGTACAATCCCACCACCACTGGAAATATTTTAAATGGTGAATACTTTATGTAGCTCTGCCAATATGGATAAGCCTTGCATTCTTTGAGCAATTTATTTGTTACTGGTATCATTAGGCCACAGAGGGAGTGTGTGGGGTTTGTGCAACGTTGCCCTAAAGTTTGGTTAGAAACATCCATCCTCAAGGTATATTTTAAATCCACTACCTCCTTCCTTTTAAAGCAGCAAAAACATATACCTTTAAAAGTAGTATTTCGAAAGCATTTTCAAAATGACATATTTCATTTTAAAGAGATTTTCTTTGAAACACTGTTATTTTTAGTATTTAATCAGAATGAGATAGTACCAAGAGCTGGAGAATTCTTTTAGCTGACACAGTCACTTTAACTTAAAGAATGTATACGATTTTATGAAAGGCATTTTCATGTTTCATGACATTGTGTTGTGTTATTTACTTTAAATTGTACCCCCCACCCTGGTACCCTACAAACTATTATCAAGGAGGATCAAGATGGAATGGGAAGAGATAGGTAGATGTGGTTCTGGAGAATCCAAGTCTTTAGTGGCTCAGTCCTGTGGAATACTCTGGCAACAGACATTCAGCAGATGCCTTCTGTGCCAGCTTTTAAATGCCTGCTGAAAACTTTTCTATTTTGCCAGGTCTAGGCAGGCAATTAAGAGTACATCGCACACAATGGGCTATTGATTTTTGCTTTAAACATTGTTGTTTAAAACTTTTCATACTTTTAATATATGGTTTTATCTTATTTTTTACTGTTGTGAACCACTTTCGCAATAGTTTTTATAAAATAAAATAGTTTTTATTAAGGATTTTGTGTGTGTGTGTGTTACAAAATTGATAAATGGGGAATGGTACATCTGTTGTCTCCACTTTCAATTCTTAGAATCTTTTTCACAATTCATTTACATTTAGTGAGAGCTATCTTGCAGTTGGGGGGAAAGAAGGTGGAGAGGGAAGGCGGAGATGTTGTAAACCACTTTCTGTTATATAGCGACATATAAATATTTTTATAAACAAATTATACTGGAACGTTGATGTTAAGATTTATAAATTAAGGAAGGTCATGTTGTCATATCTCATTAAGAAGATGGGAGATTCTAGCATACTTTATATTTCAGTTCCCAACATTGTGCCCATTCTTTAGCTTTCTCTAGGCATCTTGCCTTTTTTGCCCATTCACCTAGCCATCACTCAAGGTCCTCTTGTGGAGATGGGTGGTACCTAGGACCAGGGTCCTGATTGCGGAGTAACCTTCCCAGAAATATTCACCTCCTTTTTTATTCTTTATATGCCAAGTGAAAAGCAACCTTGTTTGTCCTAACTTTTACTGAGTTTTATTTCCTTACATTTATACTCTGCCTCCCTTCCATCATAAGACCTACAGTGACATATATTAAGGATGTAAGAAGGCACTATTTTCCATTCCGTTCTATATTCTTCACATGCAGAACTGTTTCCATTCTCCTGCAGCTCATCTTTCATAATAATTACATAAATTCCATTGTCATTATGTTATTCCACTCTATTCATTTTAGGGCACGGGAAACAAAATGCAAAGGAGGATGGGACTTCATAAATAATGTAACATTTAGAGTCTGCAGGGAACAACACCAGTGAATATACTGATTGTATTCACTGGATTGATTTCTGTTCTGGACATGGGACGAATAAACAAACACCGTCAATTTATGTTCTAATTTCCATATTCATTGGAATCCCTAGCATACATATAGTTTCCACGAGATCTCCCATCCAACACACTGACCAGACCCACTTAGTAGCTTTTCAGCTAGAGTGTGGCCTTGCTTGCCTTCAGACCACATCCTTGTCTGAATATCACATGCTGATCTTCCCTAGTCTGTTGATTTTGCTAGTCTTTCTTTGTTTAGCTTGCATCACTAAACATTCTATTTAGTAATTCTATTCTATGTTATTCTATTTCTGGTTTTTTTATATTGATCTTTGAATGGTTTTATCGTGATTTATAAGACACCTTGAAGACCTTGTGTTGAAAATGGGGATCCAGATGTTTTGAATGATAAAGAAAATAATGCTGCACATTGCAAAAACTAAGCTCCTTAGAACCAGCTAAAAGAAAGAGTACAACGCAAAGAACTGTAACAGCAGGCCATACCTGCTGTATGGGGTCCAGCAGACCAGAACCCTCTCCAGCTTCTTCATTGCCAGATATAGGAGGCACTTGGGAGCGTTTTGTGTGGTCTATCCAAAATAGAAGTTGGTTTTCAATTTGAAAAGCCATTTAGTGGGCAAAGGTCATGTCACATAAAGGAAGTGTTTTGATAACACTTTCCTGTTCCAGTCAACATGCCACAAAAATCTACAAACCAATGTTTCTCCCCAGAGTATTCAAGGGATTTTTTATTTATTTATCTATTTGAGTGGATAAGCTCAAAAAGTGACCTCCAACAGATTGGACCTGTATTTCTCAAAAAGTGAAAAAGTTCTATTATTGCCAATATGTCACTGTGACTGTCTGAATTCTTGTGTCCTTTGCCTTGAAGTTTAAAAAGAAAATCCTCATTGGAGAGGGCAAGTAAGTTTCCTGATCAGCACTCTCCTCAGCCATACCTTTAGAGCAAAAGCTAGGTAGCTAAAAAAAAAAGTTTTCTCTCTCTCAGTAACTGTAAAGACTTCTGTGCCTTTGAGCCACAGGGGGCTGTTGATGCTCTTGTAATAAACATTATTTATGATTGTTAATTGAAAAGCTTTCAAAATTGCCATGGCGTATTTATTTTGTCATTTAAATTTCTCTGTCTCCCCCTGTTGCTTTGGCAATAAAGGGTCATAGAGAAAATGTACCCTGGGAACGGTTTTCATTAAGAAACTCCATGTCAGGAGAGAGACACTTTAGAAACAAAATTATTACAATTATTATAGTGTCTTCTCAAAAAAGGGCAGAGTCATTAAAACATTAGAGAGCTGTAGTCAGCAGATGGTCCCGGGGATACTTTTCGGGATATTTTGTAATTAAGGCATTGGTTTTAATAACAAAATAGGGTCATTACCAGCTCTTGGAGAATAATAATAAAAAAGTCGTGGAGATAACTTTGCTATTGTTAGCTTAACCGATAACTTGGAAACACAGTTTAACATTATGAGAACTGCTTATAGTGTTTGGGGGCACCAGCCGGGGTGTGTGGGCAAGTACACACACAGTGTTATTGATGGATTAACCATGATAAATCAGTTGGTAGCAAGAACACACTGATCCCCCACCTCCCCTGTTTTTGGGGTATGTGAGCCTCTTCCTTTTGCAGACCTTAGCTGCCATTAAGTTTTAACCATGTTTAAGGTTAACCGGTATTTAAAATTATGAGTTGTTTGCTGGTTTAAATTCCTACATAGGAACATAGGAAGCTGCCTTATGCTGAATTTGTTCCTCATGCTCAGTATTGTCTACACTGACTGGCAGTGACTCCCTAAGGTTTCTGGCAGGAATCTCCCTCAGCCCTACCTGGAGATGCCAAGAATTGAACCTGGGAGCTTATGCACACAAGGCAGATGCTCTATCACTGAGCAACAGCCTTCACTCTTCCCTCCTAATTAAGAGGAAACTATGGTTGGTCTTGGGGAACACGGGTGGCACTGTGGGTTAAACCACAGAGCCTAGGACTTGCCGATTTGAAGGTCAGTGGTTTGAATCCCTGCAACGGGGTGAGCTCCTGTCACTCGGTCCCTGCTCCTGCCAACCTAGCAGTTCGAAAGCACATCAGAGTGCAAGTACCACTCCGGTGGGAAGGTAAACGGCATTTCCATGCGCTGCTCTGGTTTGCCAGAAGCAGCTTAGTCATGCTGGCCATATGACCCGGAAGCTGTCTGTGGACAAACGCTGGCTCCCTCGGCCAATAAAGCAAGATGAGCTCCGCAACCCCAGAGTCAGTCATGACTGGACCTAATGATCAGGGGTCCCTTTACCTTTATGGATGGTCTTAACCACACTTAGAAATGGAGAAGAATGTAACTGTTAACACCTAATTTTGAAATTGTAATAAGTGCATAAATCAAATGTCCACGTAGACCAAGCATGTGATACGTTAACCTAATGTGAGTGTTGGACAGGAGGGGGCAGTCATGTGAAAATATTTGCTGCCTAAGGAAGTGGCAAAACTTGGCCAGAGAGAGAGAAGTATTAAAGGTGAGAATATGCGGAAAGGACCTTAGCTCAGTGGAAAAGCACAGTTTCACATGCAGAACGTAGGAGCCCTGCTGGATCAGGCTGGTGGTCTATTTAGTCCAACATCCTGTTCTCACAGTGGACAACCAGATGCCCCATAGGAAGCCCGCAAGCCTGACCTGAACTCAGCAGCACTCTCCCCTCCTGTGGTTGCCAGCAACTAGTATTCAGAAGCGTACTGCCTCCAGCAGTAGAGGTAGAACATGCAGGCGTAGAACATGCAGACGTGTTTAATTCTCTTCATCTCCAGTTAAAATGATCAGGCAATTGATGAGAAGGACATTGCTGCTAGGCAAAGCACTGCCAGGGAGAGTAGGGAGTAGAGAATTCTAGGCTGGATGGCCCAATAGTCTGACCTGTTTTAAGGCAACTTCCGTTTTAATGTAATTAATCAAAGAAAGCTGAACATATGACTACAATAGTTTCTGCAATTTTCCAGAACAATTTTGAGGTTTTGTTTTGTTTTTTAAAAATAAAATAAGACATTGTTCCCTCATTTTGTAAGTGGTAGCTTCTACTTCTAATTTTGTGTCTCTCCACTTTTGACATCTTCCCTGTGTCCCCGCTGTCCACTACACTACTAATGGGAGAGTGACACTGGAAGCATAATTACATTTCCTAATTACATGTAATTAGGCGAAACCCAGATGATGTATACAGTGTGCTATTAAAACAGCCAAGGGTCAAGGACTTCTGGAATTTCATACTGGCTTTCTAAATAAGTGCTTTGCGTTGCTAAAGCCAATATACTAGCTTGCTCGATAAACCCGCTTAAGGCTTAAAATATATAGGATTCATTTATTCAGCTGAGTAAGGATCTACTTCAGTGTGTGTGTGGTTCCCCCGCCCCCTCATTGTCTCCTTCTTAACAACCAGGTTTTAGGTTTCTTGTGCTTAACGCAGGAAAGGCACTCTATGCCCAGCACCATAAAGTTGTAGATGCTGACAGGCTAAGTAATATTTATTTTTCCAACCTTAATCCTTTTGAAACATGGTGAAATAAATACATCCCCTTATCTAGCATGTGCCTGAGACTGGAAATAAATTCTTGTTTTCTTGTGCTCCTGTACCAATGGTCTGCAATGAATAATTCGGGCAGTCTCTCTGAATAGGAGAGGAAGAAGCTTCTCTATTACCAGTGGTAATTATAAAGCTCATAATGGGAGTGTGTCGAAGCCCCACCATCAATCAGGGAGGAGAAACAATGGGGAATGATAGGTATGTAAAAGAGAAAATGGCGAAACCACATATGGAAATGCAATAGTTTTTTGCAAGGTTATAAATCATGGAGGAGTCGTAATTTTCAGAGCAATTAATATCCCACGATTAAAACGTAACTTTTGTAAAGGTATTTAGCAGTCGCACAGATATATCCAGGGAAGGAGAGAGAGAGAGATACCACAGAGTGCCTTGGGAACCTTTGGCAAATCATGAAATCCTTGTCCACAAGCCCAGTTAATGACGTAGCATTAAAGCACCTTGCCATTGGCCCCAGTCACTTTTTTGTGGAGATATAAACATTACAGCTGTGTTGTTGGATGAATCCAGGAAGGAATGATTTCCGCAGCATGACTGAAACATTTTAAAAGGATCCCAAAGCTATCATAAGGAAATTAATTAGACTTTGGGTTCTAAATTATCAGTTTAGTTGTGGTCCAAATCAGATAACTCTAGTTGACAGTTGTAGTTGACCTGTAGGTCTGTAACCTGAAGCGTCTGTAACCCGAGGTACATCAATCTGGGAGTGATATGGTGTTATTTGCCTGTGTCTTAGAGGTGAGAAGCTCTTTGCCTTAGTTACTGTATGCAAGTGAAGTGAAAATAAAGGCCTATGTATTTGTAATTGGAAAGCTATGCTGAGAATCAAAGAAAGCCTCTGAGACTAGAGCTATCATAATACTGTAAGGATGGGGAGCCTCCAGATGTTGTTAGACTCCAGCTCCCATCAGCCCAAGCCAGCATGGCCATTGCTCAAGGGTAGGATAGGTTCTGTCATCCAGCAGTAACTGGAAAGCCATATGTTTCTACTCTTGGTGTAGCATGTATTCCTTTGCAAGTGCTTGATGACCTAATAATTTGAAAGTGAAAGAGAAGATGCAAGCACAAATGCATCTTGTCGGTAGTAAGCTGTGGCAACTTCTATAAAATTCATGCATTTGTCCTTGTTTGCCTTATCAGTTGAGTTTTTCTACTCACACATTTCCTGATCCCTGCATCGCTGGTCTAATTATTTTCTGGACTTTAAAATTCCAAACCTTATTTTAAAAATTCCTCAGCTTGTCTTAAGAATGTGGTGGTAGCTGTGCTATACCTTTAAATCTGGTCTGGGATTTTCAGATAGGCACCAAAAGCAACACATTACTGATATTTGTGCACATTGTACAGACCCTCCAAGTGTCCCTATTTTCCAGGGATGTCCCTCATTTAGAGAAGCCATCCCGGCTTCTGATTTGATCCCGGAATGGTCTGCTTTTCCTTAGGGCATCCCTGTTTGCATTGGAGTAATGCTGGAGGGTATGGTAGGATGTCCCTATTTTCATTGGAGTAACGTTGGAGGGTTTGGAGTTATTCAACTCCCAAGCTGTCTGCAGGCAATCCTGTATAGGGAAGTTTTTAATGTTTAATGTTTTATTATGTTTTTATATATGTTGGAAGCTGTTGGGGCAACCCAGTAAGATATGTGGGGTATAAATAGTAAAATTATCATTATGGAATGGGATGTCCCTATTTTCATCAGACAAATGTTGGAAGATATGATTGCTGTTATTGTTATTATATTTATACCCTTTACCTTCCTCCCAAGGAGCCCATTGCTGAAAATATATCAAACTTAAAACAGTTAAAACTTCTAAAATACAGTCTAAAAGAACCTTCAAAAAAATAAATAAAACCCTGTTTAAAAATCCTAAAAACCATAATCTACTCTCAAAGTAATAAATTCAGGGTTGCCAGGGACAGAACTTTAGCCATCAAGAACCTTGGAAAACAGGAAGGTTTTAATTCTCCTAAAAGTTAATTATGAGGGAAACTGATGTACCTCACTAGGGAGGGTGTCCCACAAAGGGGGACTGCCTCTATTGTAAACCTCTGCACACAGCGGAGTGGCTGAATTCATAGGGACCTTAAGAAAACACCATGCATTATGATTTCATGTTTTTAGATTTTCAAAACATTACATAATAACATGAAAGAATGAATAGTCACAGCTGGCTGACATCCAGCCATCCAAAGACTGTGCACATCTTTGTGTATGTCAGTCACTTAAGATTAATCTGTAATGAGACTCCAGGGAAAGTGTTGCTGATGTTGTTAATTTTGTGATTTTGTTCTTTTTTAAAAAATAAAAATAAATGGTGTTGCATAATACACAACAAAATTGACAACAAAATCCTGCCCTCAGGCTTACACTCCAAATAATTAGTCACATGAGAAAAAGGAAGAAACCAGGGGTGCAAAGTCAGTATGGTTACACAACATATTGGTGGTGTTTAAGCAAGAGGGCTAGGCTTCACCAGCACCTTTGAGTTGTCAAGAAGTTGAGCATCAGAAAATACTGTATTCCTGCCAGTAACAATTCTCCTCATTGGCTTTTCTTACCAGTCTAAGGGAAGACTGAGAGCTGACAGGTGGGAAAGATGTTGCAAAATGGATTCCTGATTATGACGTATGGTCATATGTCTGTATCTGGCTGAATGGACAAATTTCACCAAGAAATTCACTGTCCAGGACTGAAAAACTGATTTGAATACCAGAATTTCACCTACGTGTTTTGCACAGCAATTGTTATTGTTCCCTTTTGGTTTGGGCGCTTTCCTTAGTATGCTTTGCAGAACAGGAAACGTGAGTGTGCACACACCTAAATTTGAAAAAGTATATTCTTTGTTATACAGTTGACCAAAATCAAGGCTCTCTTCAGAAAATTTGGAATTTATAACAACAGTCAGAGTGTTTACGAAAAGCTTTCTGTAATAATATCCTCCAGTATGTAGAAAGAATTGAGCTTTTTCCCAGAAGCATTTATTTATTTATTTTCCACTATCCAAATGTTTTTGGTATGTGTAAGGGAAATACTTCAGAGATACCAGTAATCTGGCTTTATTTCTGCCAAAAGCACTTCTCTGCAAATGCACTCTGTTTCCTGCTAAGAATTTCATTTACTGTTTGTACAGAATACAAAGTGTTCTTAATCAAGCAAAGAAATAATGCCACTATTATTCTAAGTAACAAATATGTTTGAGGCATAAATGTGCAAGTGTGTGCGCATGCGTTCAGCACAAAGGGAATATCAAACTAGTTAGATTGTTTTAACAGATTTAGCACAGTCTTTGATAGCTTTGTAAACAGGAGATGCTATAGTGTTAAGACCCAGGCTATACTGGGGGTGGGGTGGGGGATCCAAGTATGCTCCATATGCTGGAACATCATAAATGAAAATCCCTGGCAAAAATACATTAGTTTTGAAAAACAAACAGATGTAGTGCATCAGCTTAAAAGTCAATATATCCTGAGCAGTAGCATCATGTGTAAAACTGCAATGGTAATTTCACTTGGTCAAAGGTCGGGCTGGAGCATGCAGCTCCCTGTAGTCCCAATCTTATAAAATAATCATTAGGAATTCCACATGTTAGCAGTGAACATGAGCTAAAGCAAAAGTCCCATTCTGGTGTCTTGCCTTTGCTTTGTAAAAAATTCATTTGATTAATATTTCAGTTTCAGGGAAGTGTGGACAGGAAGAAAAAGTTCTCCTTAATGACCTCAATTGTGCTAATGCATCTAGTGAAAACTTTGCTTGGGTATGTTTGCATAATTTTAAATGTCCCCCGCCCTTGTAATATGATGGCTTTGAGTTTCACTGAAGGAATCTATGTTATTTTACCTTCCATAGTGCCTCTGGTTAACTTCCTGAGGGCCTCAGAAAAGCCAATTGCTTAATGGCAGAAGATCATGACTAATTAGTTCACATGGCTTGGTGAATCCTCCCAAATATTCTCTCCTCCCCCACCCCACATATGTTTAAAGATATTTCTGCTAATTTACAATCTGAAAGATAGGTGAGGAGTTGAGAGTTTGAAAAATAGATTACTGTCTTCATTAATACAGGTTTGACCTACAAAGTCTTCACGTACTTAATGATTAAAAACCAAAGTACTAAATAATAAATTATAAGAATTTATAGGAGTCATCATCTTGAAATTAGCTTACCGAATGTTCTTATCATAATAAATCTGAGTGGGTGTCTAATTTAGAGTTAGCTGCCTAAAATTATATGTTGCAGATAGATACAGGAAGGAAGGAAGGATCTTTTTGTTTCAACTCCCCCCCCCCCAAAAAAAGAAATCCCATTGTGAATTTAATTACACATGGCAGAAATGAGATCAGTGTGTCTGTGTTGCAGAAACAGTATGAATGTAAAGAAAAATTCTAGTTTGAGAAGTAAATATAGTAAGAATTCCTCTGCCAAATCAACAGTAGTAACACTACTTCAGTAGGCAAGAACTAGTAAAAATCCAAGTGAAATCTACAATTGGATCTCAGCAGTTGCAATAGATATGCTTGCTGAAATCCTTCTTATCCCAATTATAACAATGGATTTAGTTTCTTCCCCTTTCCCTTCCCCACTGCCCTTAAAGTCTTCAGCATTGCTCAGAATTTTTGTTGTTTTGTTTAGGTTTTTCAGTCCCATACATCTGGAGTCTGGAAACTTTTTAATAGTTGCTGTACTACAGTGATTCAAAGTATTAGGCTCATATGTCTGTATCTACTTACAGCAGGATCAAATTTACCATTCAAACAAGTGGAACTTGCAACAAAATGTTGTTCTGTAGGGTGTTTCTGTTTGTGATGCATTCCCTTTTCCAGGAGACACCATTCCAGTCCATTCCTCTCCCCGCCCCCCAATTCACAATACTGTACTTTCAGCGTTCCTTGCCCACTGAGCACACTCAAGCCTCACTATTTGGGTGGGGGCTCTCCTGCTTTTAGTCCCCCCCCCCCAATTATTTTTTTATCTTTCAAACTCTGGGATTGCTTTGAGCATGTACTCTCCCACTTCAGATAAATGCTAGAACCCATCATGCTGAAACCTCCTTCAATGCAACCACTGTAGTTCCCACTATTCCCTGGGTATCGCATGTAGTCTTAACACATATGATGAAATGAATGTGTTCATAAGACTTTATATGCCTGTCAGCCAATGATTACTCGTAGTGGTAAGCCCTAGTAACACCAACGCTGGCTGTAGAAAGGGAGGATGTGGGATTGTGCCTTGTGTTCAAGGTATCATTCACACAGGGGTTTATGCATGAACGTGGGGTGGTGGGAGCTCTGCCATTGGTCAACAGCCAAGGTAGACACCTCAATAGGCAGCAGAACCTTTAGTACAGGGGCAGGGAACCTCAGGCATGGGGGCCAAATACGGCCCTCAAAGTCTCTCTACCTGGCCTGTGGAATTCTACCCAGGGCATGCTCCTCACGTGTAGAAAATACCCTACTATACATAAGTAAAATGTTGTCTCTGGCCCTGCCCAGAACTGGCATGTGGCCTTAGAAGGTTACCCTGAATGGAATACTGCCCTCAGGCTGAAAAAGGTCCCTTACCCCTATAGTAGTACCACAAACCTGGTCTTCCTTTTTGCATTAATTTCTGCAATTGATGACCATCTGCCCAGCAATTGAAGGTTCCAAATAGCACTGCATGCAACTTGCAAGCAGTAGAAGACACTTGAAAGACTTTGGTAGTTCAGGCTGGCCTTTAAAAAAAAGAAAGAAAGAAAAAGAAAGAGAAAGAAAGAAAGAAAAACGCAAGCACAAAACATAATACTAATTGTGTTTCCCAAAATAAAACCTTCAGTTGCAATTTATGAAAGAGAAAAGCGAGAGCTAGTTACATAGCAAAGGGGAGGGGGGAAGGCTGTGTTCTACCCACCCCACACAATTTCTAATTAATTAGAAAGAAATATGCCTTCAAGAAGAGAAGAAAGCACCTCTGGGATTTTCACCAGGAAGAAATGGCTCCTGTGGTTAAAGGGAAAGCTTTTTCTTTTCTTTTCATTTCTTTCTTTTTTTTAAGTATTAAAAATTAATTAAAGTGGAATGTGCTAAAATTCAGTTTTTATCATTAACACCAATTTTGCAGTGCTAAGTGCTGCTGGTAAAATATAAATTTCTCTATGTCAACATAATCTGTGATGTATGAAGTTTTGCTAGCCCAGATTCTCTCAGCAGTGGAAGTCAGGGTCAATCATGCTCCTTCAAAAAATAAAGTGATAATATAGCTGTTTATTTAACAAGATTCCTTTTACTTGTTTCAGAGCAGTCCTAGATCTTTCTTGTGGGTTCAGCAATTATGAGAAGTCAAAATTTAGGGTATTTCCACAGCACTGTGGCACATAATTTCATGCTTTCCCCCTTGTTTTAGGGAGAATATTTAACTGCTGTGGTCCAAAGCTCAGTTCATAAGAATATAATGACTCCCTGCTGGATCAGACCAAAGGCCCGTGTAGCATCCTCTTTCCTGCAATGACCAACCAGATGCCTGCCCCCCCCCCCCCATGGTGGAGGATGAGCACAATCTGCTCTGTGATGCCCCAGGAACTGACATTCACAAGCATATCGCCTCTGATCCTGAAACTGTTCTCTGTGGAATTCTGTGGTGTTCAGTAAGGTTTATAAAACCTTACTATCTTGCTAGACTTTCAGGGATAATAAAGCTCATTGCTTTATTCAACATCTTTTTGAGATGTGACCCTGCTATATGAATACAGTGGTACCTCGGGTTACAGACGCTTCAGGTTACAGACGCTTCAGGTTACAGACTCCGCTAACCCAGAAATAGTACCTTGGGTTAAGAACTTTGCTTCAGGGTGAGAACAGAAATCGTGCTCCGGCAGCGCAACAGCAGCGGGAGGCCCCATTAGCTAAAGTGGTACCTCAGGTTAAGAACACTTTCAGGTTAAGGACAGACCTCCAGAATGAATTAAGTTTTTAACCCGAGGTACCACTGTATATTCCTTTTTCTTGGTATTGCATGTGAGTCCTGTGAAGCCTGCTGTGACTTATTTGCCAGGTACTTTGAGGATAAAACTGCTTGCAACCATAAGAACATAAGAAGAGCCTGCTGGATGAAGCCAATGGCCCATCTAGTCCAGCATCCTGTTCTTACAGTGGTCACCCAGATGCCTGTGGGAAACCTGTAGTTTTGAGCAACCACTACCATTGAAGCAGTGTATTGCCAGAGCTAATAGCCATTGATTGTCTTATCCTCTATAAATTTGTCCAGGTTTTTAATGTTGTCCCAATTGGTGGCCATCACTGCCTCCTGTGGTAGTGAGTTCCATAGTTTAATTCTGTAGCGTGTGAAGAAATACTTTCTTTTATCTATTCTGAATCTTCCAACATCCAGCTTCCTTGGATGTTCACAAGTCCTGTTGTTGTTCAGGGGGGAGGGGGGGTTTGGTTACATGGTCCATGTGTCTCATTTAGACCATTGAAGACTTTAAGTCTTTCCAAGTGAGGAGTGGGGATCCTTTTTCCAGGTGAAGGCCCACATTCCCTCAAGGGCAATGTTCTGAGTGTTGCATGCTAGTGGTGGGCAGAGGAAGAAGTGGGTAGGGTAACGCATGTGATTCTTACCTCTACAGTAGGCTACACATTCCAGCCATACACGTTGGAGGTTTCCAGAGGAGGGAGTGAGGGAAGGAAAGAGAGAGAGAGGGGTCACACAGATCCCTTCATCTTCCATCCAAGCAAGCAAGAGGCTGCATCGTGGTCCAAAGATCCATTCTAGCCAAGCAAAGCCATTTACACGGAAACAGAGCAAGGTCAGTGAAGTGTGTGACCTGGGGAGAGGCTGTAGCCTTGGGAAAGCCAAATAGGGAGGCTTGAGGTTCCCCACCCAGGGAACTGAATTGCAGGTCTGAAGTGTAGCCAGTGCATATAGGGATCTAGTAGTAGATTTAGTAATCTGCTAAAACCAAAATCCAGTTAAGGTAATTAGAAGGTCTATATAATCCAGTTAAGGTAATTAGAAGGTCTATATAATCAGCAGCCTATTATTACACATCCTAGTGTCCATATTTGTATGAACTAGGATCTTTCAAACTGGTGGCAGTGCACTTTTTAATGAACTGTAAAATAAATATGATACTCACTTTCCAATAGTATATGTTCTTGCAATAAAAAAATTGCAATGTTTTCTGACAGGTATTTTTCCTCCTCAAGTATCATTAGCATTTCTAATTGCTCATTACTTGTGTAAAAGGCTTGACTCAGCAGCATCTATGCATCGCTGTTACTGTGCAGCTGGGTTGCTACGTAACAATGCAAGGTCACTTGGGTGCCTTGGATATTGAAATATAGGCACCGTATTCATTCGGAATGGGTAAAACATCCACACATCTTCATGAGGTACAGAAACCTCTGCATGCAGGCTTGGTGAAAACTATTGTTTGCCTGTGTGATACAGTTCTCTGACAAGGTTCTTTTAGTTCATAATGAATGCTATTAGCTTTCAGAACTGGAAACTCCATCTTTTTCATATTGTACGAATCATACTACTTCTGTTAGCCCTTGGAGAATGGGCTTCATTAGAAATCTAAATCAGCAAATATTTGGCTTTTCAGAGGTCTCTCTTTCTCAGTAAATAGTGAATTAGCAATTGTTATATAGATAAATTTTGGGATATGTTTAGATTTTATGAACCTGTGTAAGTGCTGTCATAAGGCAGAATGACATGGTACACAGACAAACGTGTTACCAAGCCCATATTTGGTGAAGTAATGTAAAAGGAATGTCAATGGAGTTTTTAAAGGGGAGAATTGGTTTAATGAAGGCAGGCCCTACCATTAAGCAGAATGAAGTAGTGGTGGGTGCTGCAGGAGACACCCTACCAGCCTTTAACTCAAACTGCCTAATCTAACATCTCCTGCACCTCCTAAGATGACCTGCTTCCTCCTCACATGGACCCTATGACCTGGCTTGCTTTCGTCAGCAGAGGTGAATTTCGGGTTTTGCCTCACTGCATGCTAAGCCTAGGGGGTACTGCAACAATGACATAGTGAATTGAGGAGAATGGAAGGTGAGAGGTGTGTGGGGTTGTGTGTGCCACATTTTAGTCTCACACAGGGTGCTACTGAAATTTGAAAGACCCAAGTCCACCCTTGTCCTCAGACATGGTGGAAGATGTTCTCTTTTTGCCAGTGTTGAAGAAGATTCATCTGCCAGTCATATACAGTACATGGATTGGATAGAGGCACCATATTGTCTTTTACCTGAGGCAGAAAAATGTATTAGGCCAGACCTGAGTGTGCACGCAAATCTCATACTCACACAGTTTCTCCCTCACACATTTCAGACTCAATGGGTAGATGCAGAATTAAGCACCTCTTTGCCCCCACGCCAATTCTTCCCCACTATGGTGTTCATGGGCCAGTAGGTGACACTGTGCAGGAAGGTTGTAGGTTGTAAATAGGAAAAGAAGAAGTATGTTTTACCTCGCCTGATATGGTGTCCCAGCATACTGGCCCTGATTCACATTTGCCTTACTAGGAAAAGATGAATTGTGGAACTTTGTGTTTTCTTCACATCATATAATGGATTTCTGTCATGGCATCATTTGACAGGTGGTGAAAGGAGAGGGGTGTAATCACAGAGCACTATATTTGCAGGGTATGCCTCTGAAAAGCATATCTAGTAGACATATGCATGCAAACAGCAGCATTATAAGCAAACTGGGTTTGAAAGATCCTAGTTCATACAAATATGGCTTCTAGGATGTGTAGCAATAGGATGCTGAAGCCTAACAAATATAGAACTTTCCCATTACCTTAATTGGACATTTTTAGCAGATTACTGGCAGTGAAATAAATTCTTGATACACTGACCCTAAGATTTTTCTTGGCATCTGCATCACCAGAGCTCTTTTTGTGATTAGAAAGGTGTTGTTTGGATTGCAGGGACCAGATCCTCTAGATCAGCACTTTGGGGTTGTTCTATCCAAATTTGATATACTTTTTGCTAGTAATCTCACAGTAGTGCTTGGCACCTGGCATTCAGGAATGTGAAAAATGCAGTCCTAAAGAAAGATTACCACTTGAACATAAAACACAACTTGCCTTCGTTCCCCCACCAAACTCTGGAGAATATCTGTAGGCACTGGAATGACTTGATAAAGTGTCAGGGGTGCCAATTTGAACAAAATATTGGGGGGGGGGCAGGGGGTAAGCCCCATGTCTCATGATTTATCACATGATGCGGTGCGCACACATACACCATTTGAACAGCAATGCCCATCAGGGTTTTTTTTAACAAGACAAGATCACAAAGACACGGAGTAGTCTTCTCAAGATTCTACTCCTATTCAGGCATTTGAGAGCATTAAACTGGGGAGTGGGTACACATGAAAACCCCACCTCCAACATCCCTACATGCGCTGGCTACACTTCAGACCTTTGCTCATTTATGAAAACACAGGGATCTTGATCACAGGGTAGCTCCTAAACACATTTCACCAAACTCACTTAGAAGCCCCCTTTAGATCTTTGTGCTGAATGCTCAAAGGTCTGAAGAGGAACCAGCGTGCATTGGGATGTTGGGGGGTGGGTCTTCCATAAGGTAGGACTCGAACCAATGGCTTCAAATTACAAGAAAGGAGATTCCAACTAAACATCAGGAAGAACTTTCTGACAGTAAGAACTGTTTGACAGTGGAACAGACTCTCTTGGAAGGTTGTAGACTCTCCCTTCCTTGGAGGTCTTTAAGCAGAGATTGTATGGCCATCTGTCATAGATGCTTTAGTTGAGAGTTTAGTTGCATTGCAGCGGGTTGGACTAGATGACTCTCGGGGTCCCTTCCAACTCTACAATTCTATGTTTATGAGACCTCTTCCTAGTATAAGCCTTCAAATGCCTGACTCAGACTAGAGAAGCACATTCATCCAAACATGTTTAGAAATCCCCTTCAGATCTTAGTGCTTTATGTGTAAAATATTGAAACAGAGCCAGTATAGGTGAAGATGTTTGCAATAGGGCTTCCACACACAGCCCTCTCCCCATTTGTGATTAGGGTAAGTGAAACTTTTTTGGTATTCTTAGTTCAGCTTTTAAGACTGGAGGATGAAAGAAGTGACAAATAAAAGCTCCTTCTAGGCAAATAAAATATTGGAAAATAAAATGTTGGCTTGTAGTAACAATAAATAAATAAATAGAATTACGTGAGGAATCATTTGAACAAGACAAGGCAGTTTCGATGGCCTTTTTCTCCACATGAGTGGCACTCGTCCATCCTGCAGGTTAGTATAAAGTAAGATCACTTGTCATAGCTGTAAGCTATCAATAAAAATTAACGTACCACGGGAAATTGAAAGGGGAGAAAGGTATTTAAATGTTCAGGGTCATGGATCTATCCATACATTTCTCATGAGCGTATTTCGGTGATAAGAGGCATTGTTGTTTGCCACAGGCTGCCTTTTTCATGTTTTATTCCTACGTTAAATGCCGGCATATTCAAATCAAGGACAGAGGCAGTAAACCTGTATGCAATCAGCTAGCTGAACAGAGCTGAGTACTCTGGAACAGCCTTCCCCAACCTGGTGCTCTCAGGTTTTTTGGACGACAGTACAGGCTGGAGTGGATGGAAGTTGCAGCCCAAAACACCTCGAGGGTACCAGGATGTGGGAGGCTATTCTGGAGTGAGAAAATGCTAACAGTATATGACAAAAAAAGTTTTGCTCCCGAAGATAGTTGTACCATACCTTCAAGATGTGTGAAACAGTAAAGAAAGAAGCAAAGCCAAAATGATTGGGTGGGTCACCATTATGGTAATTAAATTATTTGATGCAGAATGAAAGTCTAACTTTTCTTATAGTTCACTTTTACAAAAGAAGAAGAAACTTGCACATATGTAACACAAAGGACATATATTCAGGATTACATCATGTGGAGTAGTTACTTTTACACCTACTATCTTGAAGGTGTAAGGGTGGAGTATGGTTGAATCCCACCCTCCCAAGTGCTGAAAATTCTGTGCAACATCATGGCTTTAATTGAATTTATTATTTCGGTCACAGACCAGTTCCAGCCCACATACAATATCAAGGAAGTCATAAAACACGATAGGGATACATTTTAATTTGCAATTAGGTATAACAGGGACAATACAGATACAGTGGTACTTCGGGTTAAGTACTTACTGTAATTCGTTCCGGAGGTCCGTACTTAACCTGAAACTGTTCTTAACCTGAAGCACCACTTTAGCTAATGGGGCCTCCTGCTGTTGCTGCGCCGCGGGAACACAATTTCTGTTCTCATCCTGAAGCAAAGTTCTTAACCTGAAGCAATATTTCTGGGTTAACGGAGTCTGTAACCTGAAGCGTATGTAACCTGAAGCGTATGTAAGCCGAGGTACCACTGTATAGCAACAGTTAAAAATATATATAAATTAAAACTTAGTCACTAACATATAACCTGAAATTATCATTTAAAACCTTAAGCACTAAGATAGCACAGCTTGTTCCCTACATTTTATGGCAATCACACAGAATTTGGCTACCCTTCATGTGATCTCAGGATCCTTGTCCTCTACCTTGTCCTCTCTTCAATTTTAGACATTGAAGTTTGGATTCATTTGGAGATTTTTGCATAGCAGGGGTAATAAACACCGAGCTTATATCCCCATAGAAACGGCAGCGTAACAAGGCATGAGAGACAGTTTCTACCCATCATGGCTTTATTATAAGGACAGTACTATGCACATAATGGCTGTAGTGCAAATAACATGGACCTTGTATTTCTTGAATAACACCGCTTCATGCCATAGGTTGGAAAGGGTGCAGTTTATGAAGAAGACACCTATCCGTTATGCCATTTCCGCACACAGTAGGAAAATGCTGCTAAAAAAGAAAGAGGGCGAGAAGATGCTTTCGTTGTCAGTTCAGGTCCTGGAAGTTCTCACACCTCAAGGAAAGGGGTGCACATAACTACATGTTATGAGCATGTTTCTGGTTGGCCCTTCATGCCTCCCAAGAAATGAAGCAATCTCATTTTGTTGTTCTTGATTCCCACAACTTTGATCGGACGCTTTAACCTCATTAGGACAACTTTCTGTGTGAAAGTTGGTACCCATAAATATTCTGCTAAATAGCCTTTATTGACTTATTTATGGTGGACAATGAAAGAACCATTTGTTTATTTTACTTGCAAATACTTATCTTTTTTTTAAAAAAAACACACAAACCCCATACTTCTTTTAACATCAGGGAATAAAATTTGTAGTCTGTGAGCAACATTTCATTTTAGATTTCTAAACCCTCCTCTCTGTCTTTTACACTTTGTGTGTGCACGCGCGCGCACACACACAAACACAAACACACTATTCACTCAATTTGCAATCTTCTGGTAAGAGTGCTGTTGCTTATGTAGTCAGGCTTTGTGGACCCTAAGGCTTGCAGAAGTACAACAAAATGTTAAAAGGTGGGGGTGGGGCTCCATAATGGTGATGGTGAGGGAAGCAGCCCAATTAGGGCTAATCATAGAGGGCATGGAATAGTGATTTACTGCTTGGTTTGGTGTTTATTTGTTTTTGAGGGATGGGGGGTGCGTGCGCAAACAACAGCAAAGAGGAAATGGAATGGAGCACTCCACATTTTGTGACAGATTCCCATTTATTTCATATAATTCTTTTTTTGTGGAACACATGGGTTTATATGGATTATATGTTTTTGTATGTTTGTATTAAAAAGAACGAAAGAAGAAGAAGCCCACGGGTGGCAGTTCATTAGTGTATAAATATAGTTTAACTTCCTGAATAATTACTAATTCTTTTATTATTTTTTATAATTCTTTTTGCTTAGTTTGCTTTGAATAATTTTCAAAGTACTATTCCCAATGGAGATCCCCAAGAGACAGAATTTCTGGCTAATATTTTTATTTTATTTTATTGCCATCCCAGAAGCAGCACACTGAGAAAGACCCCTAGGTTATTTATATCTTGATTTTATCTTAGAAAATTAACTAAAAGAAAATGCCTTAAAACATCTGATATATTAGGCTGTGCTTAAAGAGAGAGATTAATTTTAACAGCTTGGCAAGCCCAGTGGAGTCTTTGTGGTTTGGGGTACCAAAGAAGCTAACTTTCTAAAAATTCCTTGAGGACATTCTTAAATAAAACAGTCATAAAATAAGATTTTGAATTTATAACATGTTACATAAGGAGCAGAAGAAGCTGCCTTATGCAGATGCTTCTCTTAAATCCCACTAATGGGACTATGGGCACAGCTAGTCAACCCTGGAATGCCACTGCTGATCAGAATCAACAGTAATGGGAAAGATGGAACAATGGTCTGACTCAGTATAGGGCAGCACGGTGTCTGCTGTTTCAAAGTGCTGAATTAAAAATAATACAGATGCAGCATGGAACAAATCAACTACTAGCAAGCCTCTTTGCTATTTCTTGGTAAAGAAAGAAGACCATTATGCAGGCCAGTTCATTGATGGTATGCACTTTGTTTCACGGAGATAGCAGGAAATAATGACATCCATCAACAGCATGAAGCACCATTTGCTATTCCATCAGAGTCACACAAAGGGGCGGTGAGGGCAGAAAAAAAAATAGGGTGATGGGGCATAACTTACCGTATTTTTTGCACCATAACACTCACTTTTTTCCTCCTAGAAAGTAAGGGGAAATGTCTGTGCGTGTTATGGAGGGAATGCCTACGGGTGGCATGCCTACGGATTTTCCTCCTCTAAAAACTATGTGCATGTTATGGTCGGGTGCGTGTTATAGAGCGAAAAATACGGTACAAATATTAGTGTAAGTACTTTTAGTTCAGCTTTAAGTTTCACACCTCACCATCTAGTGTGAAATGCACAAAGTTACCTCCTTGGATATAGTAGCCTTGCAGTACGCTGTCACACACATACACACTCCCTGCCCTGGCAATGCCTAACACTAAAAGCAGCAAGTTTCAGATGCAAAGAGCATCTCCAGAACATCAGATGTATTTCCTATATGCCTTAGATCCTTTCAGCTGGAGGTGCTGAGGACTGAATCTGGGGCCATCTTCACGTGCTCTAATCTGGACAGGGACTTTTCAAGGCACTGAAAGGTCTGCAGGAGAAAGTTCATTTGGAGCGCCTCATGGCTGCTTCCCCACAACAATGTGTCAGTATCACCCCCCCCCAAAAAAAATCTGGAAATATAATACTTTCAAAAAACAGTTGTAGTTGACATCAGAGTGTTAAGATGTTATGATGGGGTTGCCATATTTCCAAAAGTGAAAATCTGGACACAAACGTTAACATTTTTGAGCTTTATTAAAGGAAATTCACTAAATTCTGCACTTCTGACATGGATTGCAATATGTCCGGATTTCCCCAAACGTTTCAGCAATTTCCGCCAAACACTCTTTATGACGGCCAAATCATGGTTATGTCCAGGAAATTCCGGATGTATGGCAACCATATATTATGACTCAATTTAAAGAGAAAATGTACAGACACTGACCCACTTGTGCATAATCAGAACTTATGTGTGTGTGATGTGTGGCAGCAATGCGAGTGAGGAGCTGCCTATTCATATAATGACAAAATACCTTCAGAATATTTTAAATGTTACCTCATCACCATTTTTTCTACTTTTCTTGTCAACAAATTCATAGATGAGATTATAAAAATATGTTTCTCTCAAAAGATCCCATTCTATGAATAGAACGGATAAAGGTGACAGTCTTGACTGAAGCATTGTGAAACATAAATTATTTTCAATAAGGCTAATTTGGAAAATGCTCTTTCTCCTTTACATTTTGAAATTGGCAGAATTAGATAAAGGCAGAGAGATATGGTAAAATTTGGAAAAGCTTTATCCAGATCCACACTGGGAATTATCTTCAAACTATTATGTGGAGCAGTCTCAGATCCAGAACATCTCTCTGCAATATATAGGAAATGCATAAATTATTTTCATTCAGAGGACAGAGAAATTTGCAGATCATTTGGGCAAGTTCACACTAAAGCTTCTGCATCTCTTTCCAGTGTACCTTGATTTTAGGAAGAATGGTCAAGTGTTGCCAAATAGATTCACAACTTCTGTGTAAGCACAAGAGAGCTTCTCTAGATCCATTTGAAGTTTACCTAAGATTCTGCAGCGTGTTTCCACCCTGACCTTTCCTCCCCCCCCCCCCTTTGTTAATTTGCAGTTAGTTTTTCCATCTGGGAAATGTGATTTGTGTCTATGAGCTGTTGATATTTCATCTGACTATGTGGATTCCACCTGACTGCTCAGTTTCTTGCCACTTCAGTTTTTCTGAAGTTGTTCCTCATGTCATGAAGTTGATGAGGGAAGGAAGCATTTTCCCCTAACACAACATCTATGCCTTCTTTTTGTAAGATTTTCTCAAATTTGTAAAGGCCTTTATGCCGGAATGCTGCCATTGAAGATATTTCAAATGTTTTCATTTTCTTTCCTAAAGAATTTACTTAGTCAAAGCTTCAAATATAATGTAGTTTATTATATTTGATGTAATTCCTCCTGGCTATATCATTAAAAAATCTGGCAGACCCATAACTCCCAAGTCAGGTCTGGTGCATGGATCTGCTGCACAATCTCTGGATTGTAGCCAACATATTATATTCCTTCCTCAGTCCCATTTTATAGTGTTAAGGTTGTTTTATTAATTTAATTTTGTAATTAAGTGATACATTTAACATTCCAGATTTCATCCTAAATTGAGTCAGCTAAGACTTTCTGAACATCTGAGTTTAAAATTGGCCATATTCTCACCATCATCACCACTACCACTCCAAAACGAAACTTCCTTTTGCTTTTTCATATTAGAGATTTTGTATTTTTCTCTAGCAAGGGTTTTGCTGAGTGAGCGAAGGCACTGCCTCTTTAAGTGTTTAACAGTAATTGGTTCTTGTCCTGGTGTTCATTGAAAATCCTAGACATTTCATGTAAAATCTTCTTAATGAGGGGATGAATTTTTCATTCACATTAGAAAGCTCACTCTGACAAACAATTTCTAAATAAAACTTTAGCGGTATGACATCCCATATTGGACTTGACAAAGAGGACAGGTGCATTAGAATAAAACTGTATGGCGATCCTTCAAGCTGTCAGCCATGAATATTTTATTTCTTAATGAATCATCTTTGCAAAATGAACTTTCTTGTTGTAGTGTCAGTGCCATTTACAACCAAAAAAAAGTGGGGGGAGAGAAAGAAGCCTTGCTCCTTTTAAAAGGTGAACTCCTTAAACATGCTGATGCCAGCACAAAATGCTTAACCCTAGACATGACAGGTTAGAAGTAGCATGCATACTTTTGTGCTCTTCCCACCCCTCCAAAATGTTTGAATGATAATGTCACTGCATTTTAAAGGTAGATTATCAATACAGTTGATCATTGTTTTTATTAGTGTTGACACAAAAAGTCACAGCACACCTGCCTAATTATTCCATCAGGCTTTTCCTCAGTTAAGTTAATTGAGTGTTCATAGACGGTGCAAGATTGACATTGCTGGAGACAAGGCGCTGTACTTAGTCATAACTGTGGTATAGAAGAAAAAAAGTATGAACTGCAACAGTTCAAATTATCCCTCACTTTCCTGACATGATTGACAGGTCTCGCCATTAGTGTTAAGAAGGGTTACCATTTACCCCCTGCAGGTTCCATTTTACACCTTTTGTCGGGAAATTGTCAGGTATGTGCCGATTCAAGCGGTGGTTGGCACAGTTGCTTGGCAAGCTGCTCTTCTTTCAAAGCTGCCATTTTGCCTCTTTTCTCAAAATATCTCAGATCAGAATGAAACAATTCACTATAAGTTTCTCATCAAACTGAAACACTCTGTTGTGTTTTGATTTATTTTCACTTCTGAAATGTTTTGAAGCATTGGGGATCCAAGAAAGCTGTCTATAGTTTGTGGCTTGGCAATCCAATTCCTCATGCTCCACATGAGGACCCTCTTATACCTATTAGAGGCAGTGTCATCTCCCATGATAGTGAAGAGGTCTTGTACCTGAAGGAACAAGGGGGGCTTGTTGCAGCAGGAGGGGGAGACACTCATGCCTTTCAGCAGCTGGACTCATGTCTTTCTCTTGGCATCCCTCCTCCCCTGCTTCAGCTTCTGCCTCCTATTCTGGACTTCTCTCTGCCACAGACTTCCCCAGCTCACTAAGCCCTGTTACCACTTCAGCTTCTGATACCTCCTCCTCCCAGTCTTCTCCCTCTTCTCCTCTGACCACTCATTGCTATCCCACCACCAATACCTGGGCTCTCAGCTTTTTCCCCTTGGGGGTTCCCCAGCTGGTTCTTCCTACAATTCCTCTGCATCCAACCAGTCCATGACATCTACACATAGCTGGCAAACTAAGTCACTGAGATGTTTATGGGTGATATTCTTAAGTTTTACACAGAGTAAACCTACTGAAATTAATGAACAGAAGGGCCATTAATTTCAGTGGGTTTACTCTGAGTAAAACTTAGTTGAATACCACTCAATATTCCAAGACAGGCTTCCTCAAACTTGGCCCTCCAGATGTTTTTGGCCTACAACTCCCATGATCCCTAGCTAGCAGGACCAGTGTTCAGGGATGATGGGAATTGTAGTCTCAAAACATCTGGAAGGCTGAGTTTGAGGAAGCCTGCTTTAATGTGTAGTTTGCAAAGAGGTTAGCACAGTGACTTCCACCTGTGCAATGGAACTTCTCCCTCTCTAACCTTTCTGCCCCTTTGCCCTCCCCGTCTCAAATATTTCATGGGGTTCCCGCAACCCTCTGGCACAGGTATGGGGCGACATATGGGGAGAGGAGAGGAAGGACAAGTGGAAGTCCCTGCACTAGCAGGATGACTTTATTGGATACAGGTGTGGGGAACCTTTGGCTATCCAGATGTTGCTGAACTAACAACTCATCAGCCCCAGCCATCATGACCAGTGGCCAAGGATGATGGAAATTGCATTTCAGCAACATCTGGAGGACAATAGATTCCCCACACATGTATCCATCATAGATGTCACTGCTATAAGACATATATTTCATTATTAATTGATTTCTTGACCACCATAAGATCCCAGGTTTGGTCACAGCAATTAAAAAAAGTTCTCTCTCCAAATATGTGGCTGGTCTACCTTTATATGGATCTTCACAACAGTATCCCAAGTGTGCATCTTAAGACCTAGTTTTGGAACAGTAATGTGAAAATTGGCCCCAGGTACTACTGCTCCCCCTCCCTGCTTCACAGGTGAATAGATAGGTTTAGCATGGTTTTTCTATATATATGTAATAGTGGTCTTTACGACATTTTGGACATCTCTCTGTAATAAGCAGCATATTATTTGATTTAATTTATATCCCCTCTGCTGTTTCTAGCCTAATGTATTTATTAATATTATTTTTTGCCCACCAACCACACAAAGGGCTAATCAAATGAACTTGTAAAGGTGGTCCTTTATTGAATTAATTTTATAATGAGTTCCTGTTATGAAGGAATACGGTGTTAAAAAGGTGATATCACTAAAACTAATTAGCATAAGGCATGTTGGATTGATAGAAGTGACTGGATCTTAATCAATAGCAATATGATTACACCTATGCAGCAATTATAAATTATTTAAAACAGTACCCTTAGGTTACGGACTACTTGCCTTTAAATTAAATTTCCTGTCAATAATTGATGCAAAGAATTAATCTGAGAACACCTTCAGTTACTGAAAACTTTTTTAAGGTGGCATAAAATATTGAACTGTTGCCTGTCATTAGCAAGTAACTTGTCTCTTTTGTGTAACATCGCTCTTTGTTAAATTGGCCAAGAAGGACCTCCAGAGCATGAAAGATGGCTAATGATTCTTCTGAGGGTGTTGACACAGAGACACATCAATTTCAAGTAGAAGAATAATGCCAAAGATCTGATGGATCTGGAGGTTTTTGAACAGCTTAAATCTATTGCTCACAAATGCATTTCTGGGAGCCATGTTCACTTAATTCAAACTGAGGTTCACTTGCCCCAGAATCCATGTTCAGCTTTAGAGCTTGGTTTGTGGGCATGTGAAAGAATAACATGTGTTTTGGGGTATGCACCAGGTATATCACACAGTAATTGCAGCCCCGTCTCATGTATCTAACATAATAAGAACATTTGTTTATTATTACATTTTCATTGCTTCCTTCTTTTTAACAAAAAGTAACCCTAAACGACTTACAGCATAGTACAAATATTAGAACCAAATAAAGAAACAAAAGCATAATAAAAGCTTAAAAGTACATTCATGACATATATAAAAGACAAGTCTAATACAACAAACTGCCTCACTTAAAATTAGGTAAGGAAGAGGCCATAAATATACCTAAAACCCACCAAATTAAGGCCCCCAAATGAAACATTTTGGTAAAACATTTTTGGCTGCTGGTTAAAGCTAGATAATGATGTTGAAACATATAATATTAATGTTTAGTCTTCTTCTGGTGCTTCTTTTAGGAGAAGAGTTCTGCAGAGGGTGATCTACTTTAGTGGAAGAGGAAGCCCTCACAGTAGTATTGATGAATCTGTTCTATCCTATTTATATAATGTTCTCCAACTTAATCAGGAAACATGGAAATGGATTATTACTATGAATTTCTGTTTACTAGTTGAGTTGGAGGACATTCTGCCCATCCCTCTTCCTTTGGGACCACTATGGAGGGATTTGGGGTTCAGTCATGTTGTGTGATGCTAGTACCTGTCTTGTCTTGTTTCTGTATTTTTCCTACCTCCTTCTGAGGCTGTTGTTGCCTTAGTTTGTTTTCAGTTCAGAGGTGGGAGGAATTGTAGAGTAGGGCAGGAGGAGGCGGCAAAGTTTTGAAGACCTTGCCTGTCATGTCTAAAGAGAGGTGTCAACAGTGATGCTATTCATAAAATGGCCTCTACTTCAACCAGTAAACAGAAATTCATGTCAAGAACCAATTTCCATTTTTACTTGGAAGCAAGTTCTCCAGTGTTCAGTGGGGCTTATTCTAAAGGAAGCATCCACCAAATTGTAGCCTGAATCTCTCTTTTGTGGGTACAGTACTGTATAATAATATATAGTTTAAAGGGTATATTTAGATATAAAGGCCAGTCATACCTATCTAATAGACAAAATAAAATCAGTTTCGGAAATCCTCCAGTGAATTTTATGATTCAACTGTTATGGTTAACAAACTGCCCACTAGTTTCTCAAGCATTATAAAATCCGGTTATAAAACAGCAGTAGCTATTTTGGAGCAAAGGTGTTGAGTCATTCAAGATAATTAGTCAGCTAGGTGTTTACACTAGTTTCTACCATTGGTCCCTCACCCCCCAGTCATTAGCATTCCTTTGTCATATACCCAAACCCAATTCACAAGCAAAAACTGGGGACCTGTGCTGAGTTCACATGTGATATTGAGATAATGTGGTTAGTTTGCCATATGCCTGGATTGTAACTTAACCTACACATACTGTAAAACTTCTGTGTTGGCATGAAAACTGTGGTTTCAGATACAGTATATGCTTGTTTTGTGAGACATGAGTTGTTTCACAAATGTCCTCAAATGGCATTAGTTCCTGTAGGCTCATATTCCCAACATACAAATCTGGTAATGCAAACTGTAATCTGTTATTAGTTGGATCCTTCAGCAAAACACAATACAGTGGTACCTTGGGTTAAGTACTTAATTCATTCCGGAGGTCCGTACTTAACCTGAAACTGTTCTTAACCTGAAGCACCACTTTAGCTAAGGGGGCCACCTGCTGCTGCCGTGCTGCCGGAGCACGATTTCTGTTCTCATCCTGAAGCAAAGTTCTTAACCTGAAACACTATTTCTGGGTTAGCGGAGTCTGTAACCTGAAGCGTATGTAACCCGAGGTACCACTGTATGAAGTTAGGTGTTCTTTTTTAAATAAAATAGACATGACTGAAAATTCTAAGACTTCAGTGCCAACTCAGGAGCTGGAAAACAACCTGTTATGGATGTCATAGCACTTTCCTTAAGGAGCAGCTACATAGCGTAGGGTATTCCTTGACTCACTCTTGCAATTAGAGGCCCAGGTGTCTTCAATGGCAAGACTATCCTGGTATCAGTAACCTCATGTTTAGATTATTGCAATATGCTATAACGTGCCTTGAAAAAGGTCCAAAAGCTGCAGCTAGTACAGAATTCAGCTGCTAGGTTATTAACTTGGGTAGCAAGATGAAACAAATGTGACATTCTCCAATAAGATACCTGTTTCAAGGTAATGGTTTGTAAAGCCTTAAATAGCTCGTGACCCAAGTATCTGCAGCACCACCTCCTCAAACACCAATTTGATCTTTAAAATGGAGGGGTAGTGGCGGGGGGCTCTGCTCATATGAGGATTTGTGGTACGGGGATTCATAGAAGGGCCTTCTTCTTATCTCTCCCCCCCCCACACACACACTTTTAAGGGACCTAGATATCAAGTAAAGATGTTTCTGTTTACTCCTTGTTTGTCCTGAACTGAAAATGTGCAGAATTGTGTTTTTAATTACCGTTACCTTGTAATATTTTAGTTCTGTGTATTTGTTTTGATCATTGATGTAATTTTGTTGTCAATCTTTTGTTATATGTTGCCTTGTTGACCTTTTCCATACAAGATCCTGCAGCTAAGAATTATGTTTCCTTAATCTCCAAATCTCTATTGGTGAGGATTGTAGGGCCCTTGTCTTTCACATACCACTTATCTCAATGAGTCTTCAGCCAAGTTCAGAGGATTATCTAAACCATGGAAGATTTGGAACACATATGTAACCAAAAGTTTGTCTTATGCTTTGTGGCTTGTGCAGAGCTAAACTGTGAGTCAGGTTTTGGACAAAATGTTGAGCCAAACCATGGCAGTGACCAAGGAGAAGTGAAGCAGCCGTTAGGTTCTCCCTGAGAGCATGCACATTCATGGCTTAGCACAATATGTAAACCAGTCTTTAGCAAGATACCATCCAGAAATATATATGAGAGACTGAATAGATTCCAGGTGTAGTACATACATTTATTCATAATTCATAACTTATGGTTATCTCTGTGATCCAGTTTCACTGCTGATGCTCATTTTTTCACATTCTCTCTGCTGTAGATTGGGCTCTTTTAACCAGTCTTAGAGAACATGGCCGTGCAGGCTTTTTCTCTGTTTCTTAAACCTTGGTGTGATCCTGTGGAGGACAACAGAGGAGAAGCCATCATAATTAACAGAAATTATCTTAACATAGAGGAAATGAAATTGTAAAAGGGGTGTGTGTGTGTGTGTGTGTGTGTGTGTATCTGTTTTGAGGAGCTATTGAAAGCATGCATGGTAAAATTTGTGCTGCAAAGGAATGTACTTTTTTTGAAACTAGTATTTCACACCATGCATGTTGATGCAAAATTGGTGACTAACTATCTCCAAGATCTGTAATGTAATTCTCAGAACTAATCTGATTAATGGGTCTTGTTTCCATTTTGTTACCTCATAGGCACACACTGTTCTGAAATGTGGGTTTGTGACCAAAACGAAAGTCCCATCAACAGCAGAATCCTATACCCATCAGCAGCTGTGGCCTAACCAACTTCTTCCCGTAACTCAGGTCTAGTGTTAGTTTACAAGAAGACACGGAAGCATGCATCTGCATGTGTGAGAAAATATATGCGTCTCATGTCAGCCTCTCTATCTTCTACCTAAAGGTAGGGGAGGTGTCTGGCTGAAATATCATTTTAAGGATTATGCCTATTTGTTATCAATTGCCATGCAGATTGTATGGCAGTTATTGTCTAATTATGCATAATCAGTAAATGGTGCTGGGTCTCCATTTCTTACAACAAAGCAAAACTAGTGGCAAAATTAGAATTCGATAAATGACAACTGATTGAAGGAAGAAGTCAGAAGAAGAATCTTTATTTGCATCAGCCACTAGCCATAGCAATAAAATAAAATAAAATGTACTGAAGATAAAGCTAAAAACTTAACTATATAAAATACATTTGGGAGGTTTACATCAATAATCAAATAAAATATTTTATTCTAATTGTTCCTGCTAAAAACCCTGCAGTTTTTGCTGTCTCCTGATCATCTTGATCTGCTAGAAGAAAGGACACAGTAGCAATGGTTGAGCGACCTGGCATGGACAGTAGTAGAGGGGTAATAATCTTACTCCTCAAATCTTTATAAAGAGTGCAAGCCAGAAGCACATGAGCCACTGACTCAATACTGCCATTTCCACATGGACATAACCATTTTTCCAGCGGAACTGAAGGAAGAAGTCCTTATAAGTCAGCATATGGCTATTTAGGATATATGTCATTTTACTAGAATGTGCTCATAAGATATTTGGGTTTGAGAAGAAATAGAACATATATTATGAAGAAACAAGGAGAATGAAAAAATAAGGGTCATGTACAACACAAGAGCTTGTGCATCTTGCCTAGTGCTGGTGTGAGAAACTGGCATCTGCCAAGGCCTACACTCTTGTAGAAGTGCCACTATTGAGTACTACATTCCCTGGTCCCTGCAGTTCCTCCTTGATGTTTTCTTCTTCTTCTTCTTTTTTTACATGCCTTATTCAAACAGTCAGAAGAATGAGAAATGGAGGAAGAAAATAATAATAATTATATATATATATATATATATATATATATATATATATATCACACACAAGATTGGGTTAAAAATATAAAGAAATAAGTAGTAACACTTGACCACTGTGGGGATTCAGAGTTGTACAAAGTGAATGCTGGATCCCAAATCTGTTGATAGGTCATCTTTACTAGAGCATTTGTTTTCATACCACCTATGACACTGTTAGCCTAGAGGATTAGAGGATGCATTAATTGCTTAGAAAATGGCCATCAATGGCTCTTTCTGCACTGATACTTATTTCCAAATGAGCTTTCTTCCCTCCCCATTCCCTCTTTTTATCTTTGGGATTCTGCATCTCCGGTTTTAAAGCTTTTATCTGTTCTGTCCCTAAGGAGTTATTTTAGAATAACAAACCAATATTAAGAATAAAATCGTTTTATGTTTGTCCTGTAGACATCAGAAAACTAGTGCATGGTCTGTTTTATCCCACTGGCTTTCTAAGGTTCAGGTATTAACATAAATACAGCCCATTAACACTTGTTCCTCTCTGTCAGGACATAAATTAAGTCTGCAGGTGTTCCATGAAGCTTTACCCTTGGTACTAATTAAGCCTTGATAATTAGGTTTGTTAAATTCAGGCCTTTAAGCTTATATTCCCTATTTGGGTTGCCAAAATGGAGATTTGCAATATACAAGGCCCATTTCTGCTGGTGCCCCCCCTTTCCTATTTTAAAATAAAACTGCAATCAGAAACTCTTTCATGCTCACATGGCAGAGAGTATCCATCTGAAATTGCTTTCATGTTAAAGTTCATTTATATCAGTGTTATTTTACTTGAATAAAATAAAATAAAAGATTTTTGGACACACATACAAGAATGTAGCTACTGTAATGGTAAATTATTAGGGTATTATTCCAAATAAGCACACCTCTCATTTGGTTTTGCTTTAAAAGATTAGAACACAATATTTGTTTAGTCGTTTAGTCGTGTCCGACTCTTCGTGACCCCATGGACCAGAGCACGCCAGGCACTCCTGTCTTCCACTGCCTCCCGCAGTTTGGTCAGACTCATGTTGGTAGCTTCGAGAACACTGTCCAACCATCTCGTCCTCTGTCGTCCCCTTCTCCTTGTGCCCTCCATCTTTCCCAGCATCAGGGTCTTTTCCAGGGAGTCTTCTCTTCTCATGAGGTGGCCAAAGTAGGAGCCTCAGCTTCACGGTCTGTCCTTCCAGTGAGCACTCAGGGCTGATTTCCTTAAGAAGGGATACATTTGATCTTCTTGCAGTCCATGGGACTCTCAAGAGTCTCCTCCAGCACCAGCACCATAATTCAAAAGCACCAATTATTCGGCGATCAGCCTTCTTTATGGTCCAGCTCTCACTTCCATACATCACTACTGGGAAAACCATGGCTTTAACTATACGGACCTTTGTTGGTACAATATTAATTTGAACACAATATTAATTTGACACATATACTGGCAGGGGTGAAGGTAGCCATGCCACAAAAGGAGAACAATGGAATAGCTTTGTGCTTTTCTCCAACTCCATTGATGGGGAAGGATGGGTAATGTGCATGTATTACAGCACTCCCTTCGCAAGGGGAGGACTGGCACAAAAGTTGAATTCAGTAGTCAAGAACTGGAGTGAATAAGAGATTCTCTAGACCTCAAGAACGTCCATGGACAGGTGGAGCAGTGCGTCAGTGTGTCTGGCTGTTAACCAGAAGGTTGGTGGTTCGAGCCCACCCAGAGACGGCTGTGGGCAGGATTTCTGCATTGCAGGGGGTTGGACTTGATGAACCTCTGGGTCTCTTTCCAATTTACAAGTCTATGATTCTATGATCATGGCACATCTCAGCTTCAATAACAAGAACATAAGAAGAGGTCTGTTGGATCAAACCATTGGTCAATCTTGTTCTACATCCTCTTTAGTAAAACTTAACCCCTCCCTTCACCATCGAGATCTTGGGGCAGGCCGCACCAGTAAAATACAACACTTAATAAAATGTTTAAACAAGAAGACTATTACACCATTCAAACTACAAAGCATACCCTTGCTCCATGCAACACAGGCTAATGCTGGCACTGAAAAATAATGAGCATTGGCACTAATCATACATCAGGGAGAAGGCTGTTCCATAGCCAGGGTACCGTAACTGAGAAGGCCCCATCCCGACTCCCAACCTCACATTTTACGTAGTTCTCTTTCCAAGTGTAGACTAAATACACGGAGGCAACTGAAAATATATGCCACAGCAGTACTCCTTTAAGCTGCAGTGGGCAGGGCAGGGGCACATAAGGGCTACTCCATAGTAAAATAAATAAAACTGAATATAGAACTGTTGGGTGTAAAAAAAAAAAATGCATGCCAGGGTATAGGGTTCCTACCTAGCCTTTTCTCTAGTATATTAGTTTTGTAGAGGTGGGAATCTTTTTGTATGTAGAAGAGTATGCCATCTTGTGAGCACCCTCCTGAATCAGAAATGTCACATCCCATCCCACTTCCCAGGTTTGCCTTTGCTGTCTTCTGTTGTTGAAAAATAACCTTCAAAGGTGGTATACATTGCAGTTGTCAACACGAGAATGAAACTTAAACTGTGTGCCCTCTTTCTCTTGCCCCAGTCCCCCCCCTTTTTTGCCCCGCACAAGAGAAAAAATATATATAAAGTGCGTGTATGGGGGTGGGTGGATTGGTATTGTGCTGTTAAGTAATTTATTTTTTAAAAAAATGCTTTTTAAATTCCAGCAGAATAGGTTCCTTTGGGGATTTCTGCTTACTTGTAACACATGCTGGAACATCGAGTAGCCTAATCGGAATGGATTTTCTTGCTAGTTAATATTTTATTTATTCCATAAATATGTTTCCCATCAAATCACATGTTTGATAAATGTCATTTTTCATCTAGAATAAATTAAATCATTGAAATGACTCTATTAGAGGCACTTATTTGTAGCATTCATGCTAACTTAATACTAATAGCCTTTCATCTTTTCTCTCTCTTCTTTTTTCTTCATTTGTGGAATAGTAAATGAAAAATCAGAATTTTAATCACTGGAACTTAACTATAAAAATAAAGGGGGGAATTAAAAAGTCACTAGGGACTTAGAGCCATTTTAGTTTTTCATCTTATTAACTATAGTCGCCTAGAAAGCTAACCATTTGGGGCTGTGTTTTGAAGAAAGCTTCTTAATAATTTTGTCAAAGAACAAAACATATAACAGGATCAATAAGCATGACTATATCCAGCTGGGGGCCCAAATCTTATTATTTATTGCCATTTCAGTGACAAAATGGATGCTGTGCACGCACAGTTCCCCTTTCCAGCCCAGAAGCCAGGGCTGCCCACGTGACACTATTTCAGTTGTGTGATTTTTCAATCAGTGATTTTAAAGGTGGAACAGGGGAGTGGATTCAGTCCTGCCCACCCTATTCCCTCTCCAGTCATGCTACTAATCAGCAGAATTGTAGCCATTTTTGAAAGGTGAGAAACAGATTGTTCCCTGGTAAGCTTGCATAGAGCATGCAGCCCTAAGAACATGGCTTACCATGGAGATAGCTTACAAGGACCAAAGAGTTTATAGGAAATCAACATTTAAAATGGGCAAATAATATGTTCCCTTTTGTACTTCCAGCTCAGTCAGGAGTAGACCCCATTGACTATAGTCAGTTACTTCCCAAAGTATCCAATACAGAATTGTATGTCCACAAATTTGGGGGACAAGTGATACTGAACTTACTGGGACAGTGTCCCCTCCCAGTGCTACGTTGTACCCCTCACAAAGCATTGCACTGTGGGAGAAAACATTGTTATAGCAGTCTTTACTGTCTTAACAGTCTGTCACTTGGAACCAGCCTCACAAAAGTTACCCCTTCTCTGCTTTGTATGGCTCAGTGGCAACCATCTCCCCAAAGCATGAAGGGTAGAAAGTTGATTATTTCTCACCTGGCAGGTTTTCCAAGGAAACATCTCCAAAAACAGAAGCCTAGCCCAAAAAAAAAAAGCTAGCAAAAAAAATTACCTGAAGAACAAGTGTGAATACCATAAATGCAAGTACAATACCATAAATACAGTATATAAGCTTTACAGTATGTAAACATACATAGGAGGCAATTATTCATGTGGGATCCGGAATCTGTAAATTAAGGAGAAGTTATTTCCCTGTTCTTTGAGTTTTTGAGAGACTTTAAACCAGCAAAAGCAAAATGGGAGGTGGTGCCTTGAGGGCACAAAATTGGCCACAGGCAGGAGTGGGGACAAGGGTTGCATGCCAAACAGGCAGCTTTAAGCTTCTGTATTTCAGCCATTTCTGAATGCATTCCCCCCCCTAAAATGTGACCACTTAATAGCTTGTGCTAGGTAGATATTTCATTCCACACTTGGGAACTTGGAACACATTGTCTTGATTATACAAATATAAGGCTGCTTAACTTTGATAACGGTAGTCCATTTTTGACACTCTCAGCCTTACTTATACAGGCACTCCCATAATAAATGTGAATATCCTTAAGAGCTAGTTTTTGTAGCATCATTATTTGCTCACACCCGATCCATGCACGCATTGAGATTTCACAAGCTGTTTTCCCTGCCACATCTCTCCTCTCAGCAATCTCCCTCACTTGCTTTTTATGCATGCCTTGTATTTGTTACCGTCAGTGCTTAGTAGATCAAACCTAAGAAATGCGGCCTTCCATAACTAGTGTTTCAGGAAGCATTATTAATGAACCAGCGAGTCACTGCTGATTAATTACCTCAAGGACAAAGGGATAGCAACTTCTCCCCCTAACTCTGTACAGTGAAGTCTCATACTGCAAGACTCACAGCAGCATGTGGGAAGAGAGGCTGCTAGGGTTGAAAGGTGGATGGGAAGCCAAGGGTTAAGGCATTTCAAAATGTCAGGCAGCTTGTTATATTGCAGTACATCATTCTGTCCCTTGGGATGACTGCTGAGGTCTAGGCCGAATCTACAGAGAGAGCAGAGAATTTGACACAAGCTTCCATTTTCTTTCTTTCTTTCTTGAGGTCTCCTAGGCCACAACCCATATGCCATGGTTAAGCCATCAGGCACTGGTCCATCGAGACATTAGGACAAAAGCAGTCAGTGTTTCTGACATAGTGAAAACTGTCTGCTCTTTTTCTTTTACAGAAATGTATTTTCTCCACCAAGTGCATTCCTGGAGTGGTAACAGCATTTTCTATTCCACTTGAAAACACAGTTTGATTTTTGCATATATAAAAAATCTTCCAATTGGTACTTAACTTACCAATAAAAACACAAGCCACATCATATAGCATGCTCTTGGGGTAGGGGATACACCTCATTTTGGTATGAATAGCAATTCCATTAAGTGCATGCAAATGATAGAATATGCTTAAAAGCACAGCATTTTAGGCAGAATTGTTCTTTTTGGAAACAACAATAATCAAATGTGTATAAATGCTATACATACTTCGGAAAGCCAAATCATAAATTTGAAAAAGAGCTAAGTAAATGTGTACAAATGTGAACCTGTGCTTTCAGTAGCATCATTTTACAAATAATAAAGTAAATGGTGTCTTTAGGCATATGTAGTGTAGAATATTGTCCCTGTGCCAGTGAGGAACCATAGTCAGCTCACACATAACATCAGTAGGGCCCTCTAAAACAAGCAGGAAATAAGCTCCAGTGTTTCTGGCCCCATCATTCTGAGATTTCACTTCTCCCTATATAGATCTTGAGAAAAAGTCTAAAACACTGAAGCTTTTGCCCAGACCCTAAGACCCAGCAAGTCTCCTCTGATAAGCCATACAGTCAGGACTTGATCCAGCTTTGAGGAAGCAATTGGCAAAGAAATGGAGAAATTCAATTTTATTGTCATTTTAATGATAAATTGCCTAATTCAGATTTATCAAACTGATACATGAACTGAAGAAAATAAAACGCATACATTAGTGAAACTAACAGGCAAAATACGCATTATATTAGAGAAAATTGCTAGCCTATGGCTCAACTCTGCATGCAAAAAATTGTATAGTAGGTGAAATTTGCATGCTAATGATCATGGAATTGTCATGAATACTTTAAAAACTAATATCAAATTGCTGCAGAAACACGCAGAATTGAATTCTGGATTGAGTAAAAAATTAAACCTGAAAGAAACTGAAATTAATAGATTCATCTATCACTAGCCACCACATATCTGAGTCTTGGTGGGCCAACTTACCTGAAGGTGTTTTAGTGGTGTCTTGGACTGTATTCCTTACATTTCCCAGAATGCCCCACTGTTGTGTTGCTCCAAGTCATTCTTGGAAATTAAGAGTGATGGTCTTGGCTGGGGCACTGCAGGGCATTGTAGGAAATAGCTCCAAGTTGGCACCACTGCATTTATGGGCGTCGTAAGGCTGGCACCAGCAGTGGGCTCTGCCAGGGTGTTAGGCTTCAGCTTCTGCCCATGGCTGCTGGATATTGCTACCACCACTACTTAATGGTACCCATAGCATTCAGAAACCTGGATGAGCCAGGCCAGATTGCTGACTAAATGCCTGACTCATAAATGTGTTTTATCCTCCCTTTATTTTCTGTATTTTCAAAGGCACTAGACTGATACCCACATGTTCTATAAATCTTGCATTTCTTTGTCAGCTTGGTGGTACATGTTCATAAAACGGTGCCGTTTATATTATAAAATGACCGATTTATAATTCTTGTTCATTTCGTATACGTGTACGTATGACGGCATTAGAAATGCAGCCCAGGCTGCTGTATAGTGTTGAATGGAGATCAAGCACTTCTGTTTACCTGTGAAATTGCCTATTAAAATTACAATGAAACCATAAAAATGACTTTTATGTCGCTCCTCTGAGAAGAAGTTTCAATTTACTGGTTCAAGCGAAAATATCTCGCACTTAATTGTAAAATATTTTTAGGTAGATTTACTCTGATATTACTTGGTGTGTCAAATTCATTGAAGAACTGTTAGAGGAGAATGTTAAAGCAACACTGTCTATTTTAATCTTTATGTTTATTTAAAGAGGGGGAACTAGAAACAGAAAAATCAGTGACATTTGTCTTTTTTTCTGGATATTCAGTTTATTCTGTTTTGTTTCGACCTCCACCTCCTCCTGTTCTTGGTAGAGTGTGTGAAACCATACCAAATGGAAGGTATATTTTCTGGAGTTGTTGGGACAGAGACATTTAACACTATTCACATGAGAGGTATATCAGATTCCATTAACAAAGGAAGGAGATAAGAATTGTGTTTCAACAGGGAAATAAAAGTCAGAGAAGGTCAACTGCTACACTCTTCCTCAGATACTATATTGGAGATTGGAATTCTCTGACTCCCCCATGGATGGTCATGCTGTGCAGTTGACATCACCTGTCAAAAAGGCCCAATATGAAACCCATGATGTGAGCATTGGTAGCCAGCATTTTGCCTTCCAGATGTTGTTTGGTTACAGCCCCATCATCCCTGGTAACTGGCCATGGTAAAAACATCTGGAGGGCACTATGTTTCCTGCCCCTGATGCAGCTCCCATTAGCTCCAGCCAGTACAGCTTGGGATAGGCTGTATAGTGCAAACAATTTATTGGCAAGAGAATGGGAGATTGACAGAAATGTTTTCTCAAGCCTCTGGAAGGCTACTAAATTTGTGTGGAATTTGGGGGTGGGACTTATTTTTTTCACTTTAGATTCCAGTTGGTAGGGCAGTGCCCCAGCTGCCCTAATAAACCATCCTCCACTGGTGGCACATACTGCTGCAAACTATTACACCCATGAAATCCAGGTCCTGTTTTTATATAGAAAACCCTCCCACAATTGTATGCTCACTGTTCAGCTGTTAAGATTGCTATTAAACTTTATGGACCATAAACCCCACAGAAACAAGGAAAGTGAACAGCCCTTCTATTAAAGGAGTATCAAAGCAAGAAGCATATTTCATAGCATCAACATCATGTATCACCTGCCATGCACACAAAATCACTCCCTGGTTGTCACAAGCTTACATGCTTATTTGATCTCTACAGTCAAGGTGCTGTTGCAAGTACTGACCATCGAGACCGGCATTTTAGTCCATTTTGCTAAAGCTGGAAGTTGGTGCATAAATTGTGTTCCACAGTTTTTGTATCAGAAAGCAAAGCATCTATTTAAATATTTAAGAACTCCTGATCCAGGAGTCTGCTGGATCAGGCCAGCGGCCCAACAAGTCTAGTGTGCTGTTTTCACAGTGACCATTCAGATGCTTATGGGAAGCCCCCAAGTGGGATCCAAGTGCATCCATTGTGTAATATTTCCTCTTCTGTATTTTCTCATGCAGATTTACTAATTTTTAAGTTTAATTTTAGATTCTCACCAATAAGAAGTTCCAAAGCTCATGCTTATCTAGGAAAGGTATGGAACACCTTTAGCCCTCCAGGATCTTCCATTCAACTAAGTCCTGCTCAGTGTAGACCCACTGAATACAATGAACATAAGTTTGTCATGTCCATTAACTTCAATGGCTCTACTCAACTAGCATTGAAGCAACCCAGGATGTTGCTTAACTGTGGCTTCCAACACTCCTGACAATTCATACCTGCTATGGCTGAAGGGCACAGTAGTTCAGCAATATCTAGAGAGCCAAAGGTGTCCCACCTTTAATTTAGGAGAATGTGGTATTTTGAATCCCCCTGAAATTACCGTATTTTTTGCACCATAACACTCACTTTTTTCCTCCTAGAAAGTAAGGGGAAATGTCTGTGCGTGTTATGGAGGGAATGCCTGCGGGTGGCATGCCTACGTTTTTTCCTCCTCTAAAAACTACGTGCGTGTTATGGTCGGGTGCATGTTATAGAGCGAAAAATACAGTAACTGTCAGAGCTGGGCCATGGGCATTTCTCTGAAGTGAGGCAGGGGATGGGAACCAAGGGCCATAGGCTGGAGCCACAGTTGGGACAGTCCAATCAAGGAAGGAAGTTCAGTAAGAAAGCCCCAAATCAGGAGCATGCCAAAGCTCAGGAAGATTTTGTAACTCAAGCAAGGCTTATCTGGACTAAGGTAAAGGTAAAGGGACCCCTGACCATTAGGTCCAGTTGTGACCGACTCTGGGGTTGCGGCGCTCATCTTGCTTTATTGGCTGAGGGAACCGGCGTACAGCTTCCGTATCATGTGGCCAGCATGACTAAGCCGCTTCTGGCGAACCAGAGCAGCGCACAGAAACGCCGTTTACCTTCCCACCGGAGCGGTACCTATTTATCTACTTGCACTTTGACATGCTTTCGAACTGCTAGGTTGGCAGGAGCAGGGACCAAGCAACGGGAGCTCACCCCGTCACAGTGATTCGAACCACCGACCTTCTGATCGGCAAGTCCTAGGCTCTGTGGTTTAACCCACAGCGCCACCTGTGTCCCCTGTCTCTGGAGTAGGAAATCCTTTTACTGTCTTGTCTATCCTGGCCTGTGTCTTGGCTGGGCCTGCATCCTGGCCCTAGTTTGGAGTGAGGCATCACTTATTTTTAGTTTTGGACTGCTCTTTTGTGCAAACATGGTAGATCACAAAAGGTGTACGTGCACATGTAAGCAAATACCTATGGACATCAGGCTTATTGGCTTGGAGCAACACACTCACACAAATGGCTGCTGTTTTGAGCAAATCTGGTAAATTGAGAATCTTGTATTTTGGGGGTATTAAAGGTGTGTGCTTACAGGTAAACAGATGCCAATGTGCATGCCCATAATGACCTCAGGCAAGGCCAGCCCACTCATGAAGTGGCCTGCGCCCTGGCCCTAGTTTGGAGTGAGGCATCACTTATTTTTAGTTTTGGAGTGACGTGGTGGTGCTGAACTCCTCGAAATTCAATGCTTCAATTTACAATTCAGTGGCTCACTATAAGAGGCAACCACACACAAACCCCAAGGCTCCCATTTTGTGCCTCAGCAGCTTCTGAACTTATAGATTTATTGATAATAGTTTATCCTCATCCTCTTACTTTTTGTTTTGTGGGGTAAAGAGGAAAAAGATTGGCTGGTGTCAAGCCCATTAGAAGCTTGGACCAAACTATGGTGGAGTTGTAGAGTTGGTTTGTAATGGGCTCAGGTGCTGGTACAAATCTTTGAATTCACCATTATATGCCAAATCATTGAAATTCATATGTATCACTGATTTTGCAGAATTTTCAGAGCCCGTCACTCTGTTTTGTGAAGATATATGTCATTCACCTTCATTTCTTATTACTTTGTTTTTATATATAAGAAATAGTCTCTCTTTATATTTTACCCAAAAAAAGAGGAGTTGGAGGTGGGGAGAAGAGTATATTATTCCCCTTATGGAAAATGAGGCCAACCTATTCAGTGTTCTCTGCATTTTGCCAGGAGCAACATAGAACAAGGAGAGAGAAAAGTTATCACTTAGGTGTTTATGAGAAATAGTCACATGGATCACATGAGAGGGATCTTTCTTACTGTGAAACTGAAGGGAGGGAAATACTGTTTGTAAGGTAATTGGTGGATTTTAGTAATTATTAACACTTTCCTAGAGGTAGGTAGGGAAGGAGCTCTGTGTGTGTGTGTGTGTGTGTGTGTGTAAGAGAGAGAGAGAGAGAATGAATTGCTCAGTTTCATATCTATTTGTTTTAGAACTAGGTAAGTAGATAGAAAAGGGGATACTGTTCTTATGTCTGTATCCAGCCTTACAGTGCAATCCTGTGCATGTTTACAGAAAAGTAAGCTCTACTCTGGTTAATGGGACTAAGGAAGTGTACCCAGGCTTGCAGTGTTTGTGCAGTATGAATGAATGATAATTATTATATTTAAAACAATCAAAAGTTGTATTTGAAGCACAATTTGTAATATACCATAGCACACATGTAATGTCTAAACCATAGCCCCAGAATAATTCTGGAAAGGATGACAAAAATACTCTTTTAAACTATGCTTTTAACTTAGTATTACTGTACAAACAATTCTTGATGAACAATATGTTTGATTGAATAGGGACCTTTTTCTGCCCCCAAAAGGTTCTGCACTGATATTGTTGTTGGCATCCCTCTATCTCGAGAGACAATGGAGTGTGTCTCCATGGGGTGAAGTCAAACCACTGGAGAATCACAGCGCTTGCTGTGGCTGTAGAGCTATAACTCATAGCTGCTGCCTCTTGCATTGTATTTTGTTATGTTAGAGCACCGAAGTGACCTCCCTGGGCACAAGCCTGGGCAGTGTGTATGGAGGTCCTGGGCTGCCCAAAGGACAAGACCCCGCCCCCAGTCTTGCTGATGTGGTCCATAGGAAAGCAGAGCAATACACTTGGCACCAACTTGGCTGCAGGAGTTGCCAGAAGGAGGCGTACAAAATGCCATCCTACTATCTTAAGGACTCCTCTCCAGATTTGTGTAGCCTTTTCTTTTCCTGAAAATGTGCCGTAAGGCAGCGGGTACGGATTTTTCCTTAGGCTTTCATCTCAAAGCCTTTCTTACGAATGAGTATAGCAGCAAGGTTTAAGATCAGAGGTTTAGGATCAAAGTTTTCCTTCTCCTAGATGGGTTACCTTCCCAGGTTGATGAGCCCCATCTGCCCCTCATTTCCCTCTACAGCACGTGCAGCAACTACGTTATTGACCGTTGGACCTGCTATTGGTCTTGTTACTCCAGTTGTATTTTATCATGTAGAGTCATATAAATGAATCTGAGCTATTAGTCTTCATGTATATATTGAACCTCCAAAGTCTGAAATAGTTTACCACTGCCAGCACTTCCTGGAGAGCAACACTAAGGGAGGGCTATTCATAGTGGGCTTCCAGAAGGCATCTGAAAGCTGCTCTAGGGGTGGGGAGGATGCATGTCTAGATATACTTTTGGTCTGATCCATCAGGGATCTTCTTATGCTTCTTTTGATCAAAGTAGAGGAAGGTCCAGCTCTCTCCTTAACTATTCTTGAAAGGAAATGTAGGCCATGTTTGTAACCAAATTTTGTGCTTTTCTCCCTCCATTCTCCATTGTACCTTCCAGCAGAGATTAGCTTTTTAACATCTTTTTGAAGAATGGTGCTCTTTAAAAAAACATAAGAGAGGTTTTTTTTGGTGTTTTTTTTAGTTCTCCAAAGACTATAATGAGGGTACTCGCTTCTGCAGGCAAAACACAGCCATTTGAACAGACATTAACTGCTAAAATGTGCTGTGTCAAAAAAGATGCAGGCAGAAATGAACTGAGGGGAGGGAGAAACATTTGTTTTAGTGTTTTCTTTTAGTGATTAACGTTATGTGCTAATGAAAGGCCTACTTTAAAAATTGGCACCCTTTCTGCATCTTAAAGATGAAGAAAAGCAATTGAGGTATTTAGCACGGATTAGAAGTTTTTTAATATAAAAAAATAAAAGTAGTTCCTAAAGGGAAAATGATTGTTTTTATTTTATATTATTTCCTCAAATAAAAAAGTAAAGTAGATACATAGCCAAGAAATAATAACCTACAGCATTAATATAAAGAGGCAACACTAGATATAGAAGATACTTGTTTTTAATGAAAGAATAAATGGTTTTAAGATATCTAGCAGTTTATTGTCTTAGGCGAGATTCTTTTTCACATCTTCAGCCCTTTCCCCAACTGGTTTGTCTACAATATGGGGATATTCCGGCTTATCCATTCTACAGAGTTGTTTTAAGGTTTACTGCAAAAAGTTAGAAGAAATGCTCTGAGCACTCAGAATGTGCTATATAAATGTTAAGTATCTTTACTGCTGTGCAGAGGTTTGGGTGGAGATGATATGGCTAAGTTCTGAAATACGCTGCAGATGCGGATATCATTGTGGTGCACACAGACCAAGGTCCAGAGGACCTAAGGCAGATAGCATGGTCAAAGGTACTCTAGAAATCCACTTCTGGGACAAATAAAGGACGAGCAAAAGGAGAAAATGTGGTCAGAGCCAGGCTGGTACTCAGATTCCAAATCAGTCATTTAAGGTAAGACAGTCTGCATGGCTATTCAGTGAAATAAATTGCTCAGATTGAGATTTATATTGTTAGCCAGGTTCCCATTGGTTCCTCAGTCACCTGGTCCAGCCGGGCTGATAAGCAGCAATATCCTTCCTCTCTATTTTATTTGTGGCGCTGCAGCATAGGTCTGCCAGTTGACTCTGGGGTTCACAGAATAAGACATCTGCACCCTGCTGCCTCGATTCCTGGTTTGCATCATAACTTTTGTCCCTCTTTTCTTTCTTGTGCCTACACACACATGTGCACAAACCAAACTTTGTTTCATTGTTGAATGGCAATAGTTTCTGGCCCCTTTTCCTTATTTGACTGCAACAATGCACAGTGTTCAAAAGCTTGAGCCATTGCAGACATTTGCAACTGTCTGTGAGGGATATACGTATTAGCACCAATGCTCTGGCATTTGTATTTGCTTGTTATGCTGTTCTGACTACAGTTCAAGATACTGGTTTCTTCCTGTTCATTGGTGGGGCTAGTTAGCCAAGCCTTTTGCTTCCTCCAAGAAAGTGCTGTTCTCCAGGTACAGCAGAAAAGGCAAGGGGAGGCTAATGTAGTCATCCACACACCCAGCCAACAATAATCTTGCTACTGCAATCTGCATCCATTGATGTAACCATAGTGAACAAGAATCCAAGCAGAGGGCTGAATAGATGGAAAGCAGAGACTGAGTGAGAAGAATTTGGTCAGGTTTCTGTTACTGGGATGGGTTTTACTGCATTTTCTATTTGATACATAGTTTTGATTTTAGAGCTTTTGTTTCACATGTAATCTTTAGGGCAAGATGGGATATAAATCTAAATTGTAATGGTTTTTTAAGAATTTATGAGCTGCCTTATTTGTATCTTTCCCCCACACTGACCACCCTAGTGCCATATTATACCTCTCACAAAGCATTTCACTGGGAGAAGAAAACATTGTCTTAACACTGTCTCTTGCAGCCAGCCTCCCAAAAGTTTTCCCTTCTTTGCTGTGTATGGCTCACTGGCAACCAACTCCCCAAAGCATGAAGGTTAGAAAGTTGATTATTTCTCACCTGACAGATTTTCCTAGGAAACGTCCCCAAATACAAACGCCCAGCCAAAAAATAACACTGAAAAATTAAATTACAGCATGCTCTGTTCACTTAAAAAGCTAAATACATATTTTGCATTGTTGTAACACAATGTAATGAAGATCTTATTTGATTATGACTTATTGATACCTTTCTTTGCAGCCTGTATTATGTACCTTTTTAAATAAAATGTCCCTGAAAAGCAAGTGTCAAACTTCACAGTGCAATTTTAGATATATAAGCTTTCCACTTTGCTTGCTTTGTCATTAAGCTGTGGTTAAGCATGACCAACAATCTGTGTCCAGGGTTTTTCATCTGTTCCTTTTTTTAGCAGTGATAAAACAAAATTGGTGTATACACATAGTGGAAAAGAGTTGTCTTTGTCTATTAACCAGGTGCACTGTTGTAGATCTGAAAATGCAATAAATTAATCCAAACTACAAGAAAGAAGATTCCACCTAAACATTAGGAAGAACTTCCTGACAGTAAGAGCTGTTCGACAGTGGAATTTGCTGCCAAGGAGTGTGGTGGAGTCTCCTTCTTTGGAGGTCTTTAAGCAGAGGCTTGACAACCATATGTCAGGAGTGCTCTGATGGTGTTTCCTGCTTGGCAGGGGGTTGGACTCGATGGCCCTTGTGGTCTCTTCCAACTCTATGATTCTAAGAATGTAGATACTGTTATACTGGAAACAAGAGTCATGCTGGACAGCACAATGGGACATGGTAAGATTGAATGTCCTCAAGGTTTTTACCAAGGTTCTGATGGGTGGCTATAGTGTCACACCCCAGGACCCAGTGGAGGGGGGCATGACTTCACACATATCTGCACAACACTCTGGGCTTCTCTCAATCCCGGGAACAGTGTAGCATAGATATAGACACAACTCTGGTCTGCATTCAGGTACATATATTCATATGTGGTGGGATTCCCCCAAAATCCAATCCTTTTGGACAGCATTCCTACAAGAAATACGCACAATAACAGGTATTGGAAGCCACCTCCAAACTAGCCCTATTGAATATTTCCCAAGACAATAACACTCACTCACATTATGAAGAGCTTATAACCCACCTACTCTCAGCAGCCAGAAGCATCATAGCTGGACACTAGAAAGACCTCTCAGGAGTGAGAATGGGCCACTGTTACCAAATCATATCGGAAACAGCGTTACAGTACTAGAAAAGCTAACCAACAGACTGAAACTGACACGGGGATAAAGAAAAGAGGACGCCTTCACCCCACTATGGCTCCTTTTTATTACATACACAGCCCAACAAGACAAGAACAATAACTCACCAACAGCATACAAATCAATATGACTAACTTGACCCAACAATTCCGCCCCCACGCAAACAAATCTCACTGCAGTCAGCTAAAGACAACCAACCATGCCCTGTTCCTCCAACTTCTCTCACTGACAAGGAAAAATAATAAATGAACAGAAGGAGAACCTGCCTAAGTGACGCTGACACAAAAACCTCACACATACACTAAGTAAAAGAATGTAAGTTTACCACCACCCCTCTCTCCTCCCTCTCTTCTTCCCAACCTTATACTGCATACAACACTGATGTCTCGTATTGAATGTAACTGATCAGTAGAAAAAAACTCTACAACCTGAAAGTAGAGACAATGCACATACTTTTGTAACCCAATAGGCTCTTTAAAAAAATCAGGAAGGGGAAAGTATAGAGTTAATGCCAAGTCCGTTTTTAGATTTTAATTATGTTCTGTATGTGCATTCCAATTCATGTTTCAAAGTAAATATCCTCAACAAGGCATTGTAGATTTGAAAATCCCTAATTGCTCAGCTTCAGCCAATGTTGTGTATGTGTGTGTGTGTGTGTGTGTGAGAGAGAAAAAGCCCTTTGTCCTTCCAACATACATATTTACATAATGTATTCTTTATATTTGTTTTTCATTAAGCCCAGGAGTGTAACAGAGATGTGTCTGGACCACTTGTTTTGCCTGCTGTACATTTCCCCCTAGAATCTTTTAACTTTGAAGCAAGTAACTGGTTTTGCAGCAGCTGTCGTGGTGCCGTTAAAATAATTGTACATACACTTCCCAAATGTATGAAAAATGAGAATTCCACCGAAAGGGTTTTGACATCCCCTGAAAAGATAATAATAGTGTAGGCTAACAAGAAAGGGGGAAATATACATTTCCCCCTTCAGACTGATTGCTCACTTTATACCTGTACATTACTGTTCCTTTTAATGTTCACATATAAAACTCAGTTTAGTGCTACTTTTCTTAAGGGCTGCAGGGAAATTTCCATTGAAAAGTACCATAATAATGAACTTGAACATCGGCTTTCCCGATCAAAGAAATCATTACATTTTGGCTTTTGTTTTGCATTTTTATTTCTTGAAAAGGCAAAAATGCCTCTTTTAGATAATGTACTTTTTCAATCAATATACTGGGATTTCTTCTTTCACATTACAGTACAAGATACTCAAATAGCCAAGCTATTGGAAAAAAATAAAAGACATTATTAAATAACAATTGCATTTATTTTTGTTTTTAATAATACATTTCTTCCTATGTTTTACAGCTATAACTTAAAACAAAATTGTGTGTGTGTGTGTATGTAACATTTAAAATACCACTCATTTTTTTAAAAGTTGTAAACTGCAGTACCTTATTCTTGCATTTAATTTTTCCTAATAGATCCTTAATTTAAAAGGTTCCAGATCCCCAAAATACCACATGCTTAAATGTTCTGTTTTTATGTATTGATTTCCCCCATCTCTGCTTGCTTTGTTTTTGCAAGAGTGGCTTATAAAGGAGAAATACAGAAATGGAATGTCTTTAGGAGTGGAAGTAATTAAACATCCTCTTTAAAATGAGGTTCGACACAGCCATATGTTTTAAAACACACATCCACACCCACACACATAAAACGAGAGTGGATGGTGACAGGACTTAGTCCAAACAAGATGGCCAGCCTTTGAACCTGCTGTTCACTTTTGCTAATTTAAAGCATTCAACTGTACCACTGTTAATCTTGTTTCATTACCAATAGTGCTCAGAAGATAAATGTCTGCAGTTAGACTAAAGCAAGGAGAATTGATGCCTTTTCTCTTCTAAACCTCCCCAACCAGCAACCACAGGGGGCTCTCAGGTGCCATTTTTGCTTCTCTGACCCCTTTCTCAGATTATGAAAGCTGCTTCAGGGAGCTTGTATCAGTTTGACTGACACACCAGGCTCCAGGAACTAGCAAACTGAAGGACACAGGGAAGGAAGTGTTCAAGCACCCCTGTGTTAAGAAGATATTTGGCCCTCTTCCCTAGTGGGACTAAAATCAAGCTGCTGTGTTTGATTGTAAGTGGCAACTGTTGTTTCCACTTGATAACCTGGAACATGCAAAATGCATTACAAATCAGTAAAAGGATGTATAGCTGTTTTCATATTTTATTTTCTGTCAGTTATATAACTGGGGGAAGCAAAGATGTTTGTTTGTGGGTAAGCTTATTATTAGATGTTAGCAACTTCCCCTCCTGCCTCTCCTGTATCACCTTTCCGCCATTTCCATTATCTATGCCTTGGATGACCTAGATTCTTTTGTAATTATGAAGCCAATTACCTGGAAATCCTTCAAATTTCCTAGACTGTAGCCTCACCCAGGGCTGGGGGTTGGACAAAGCATCACTAGGCACTAGCTGAGGCCCATGTCCTCAGTAAGATGCTCACTGTCAGCACCCACCCACAGCCTCCTCACAAGTGAAGGCTTATTCATGAGAAAAACTGATTTGTTGATTGATTATATTTCTTTGCCGCTTTTCATTCAAATAAATCCCAAAGCGGCTTACAAACAATAAATAACAATAACATGATCGGACACAATAAAACATCACAAATACAGCATAAAGCATACAGAATTAAGAATTCATCAGCAAAACACTTGCAATCTATGAAACACTGTTATCAAGGCAGCAACTAAAATATAAGCTAAACATCACAATTAAAGCAAATGTAATGGGGTATGATTAACAGATCACTACATCGTTTAAAATCTATAAAACAATATTGACAGCATTAACAAAACAGCAACTGAAAGAGAAACTAAGCTCTGTTAACTTCATACACACCCTCTGTGCACCCCCATGATTCATAATATTTCACTTGATTCAGCTCATTAAAATATACACACACATAATGGGTACTCCCCATCAGTCTCCACTGCCAGCCCCCACCTGCCTGCCTTCTTTCTTACAATCAGTCAGGGTACCTGCCAGTGTTTCTGGCTCCACCTCCTGTTGTTCTCACTGCCTTCAACCCTACCCACAAACACCACCTGGCCCTGCTGTTCCTTTCTATTGCTGCTTGTTCACCTGTCCTCTCTGAGCATGCAAGTGGGTTTGACATGGCATAGCATCACCCACATTTCTTAATAACATAACAAGAACCTTGCTGGATCAGGCCAAAGGCCCATCTAGTCCAGCATCCAGTTCTCTCAGTGGCCAAACAGATATCTTTGGGGAGCCTTTAAGCAGTCAAACGGCACTCTCACCACTTGTGATTCCCAGTATTTGGAGGCATATTGCTCACCTCCAGCATCTTCACCTGTTGGCTTGGTCCAGTACCAGCCCAACACTGATCTTGATACAACAAGATGCTGTTTATGCCATCTATATAAAGCAAAGTCATAGGCTTAATTGGGATTTAAGCTGAGTAAGACTTTCGGGCAACATTTTGCTAAAGAGCTCTGTTACTCAGTGTTTTGTTTTTCCCCTAAACAGTAGCTTTAAGTTTCCTGGGCCGCTTGGCAAGGTGCCCCCTTCTACTTTATTGGGAGCATTATCAGGGTACTGGGACCCCAGCAGCAGTGGAGGCTCCCCCTCCTAAATGTAGCAACGACCTGTGGGTGGATAAACTCCCTTCTGCTCTGTTTGTGAGTCACTGTTTATGAGTATTTTTTTAAAAAATTGTGCTGTAAGTTAAAGAAGTTACGAAAGCATAGTCTGTGCGACACTTAGCAGAGCCCATAATAAAAGTCTTTGCAGATGCTGTTTACTACTTGG